ATGGTCATGATCCCTAACCTTATCGCCCCCGACTAATAAGCATTTGCATAAGTTACACGCATTACACTCTTGATGTGTTTTTTCTTCACCCTCGGTCATGATTAAAGGAATGTTCGTCTTCATCAGACCTTCAATTTTCCGGGCCACATCAACAATCGACTCCATGAAATGTCTCGCCACGTCCGTCCTGTCTTTGCTGCCTCTGTAGATTACCGGCCCCGCCGGTATCTCGTGTTGAAGCAATAAATCCGCCGGCACGTCCTCGCTCGCCTTCACCAAAAACCCGTAGCTCATCGCTTCGTGTTTTTGAATAATCGTGGTACTACCCCCTCTCGCCTCCTCCGCCTTCGCCAAGATCGCCTCGAAATCCGCGTAAATTACAAACGGGTGCCTAACCGTGTTTTTCCACGCCCTGAACTCAACACATTCACCCTCCTTCGGCATCTCCGGAAAAATTGGCTTGTGCGCCCCACAAATCAATTTATGTTGGTCCAGGGCCTCCTGTCCGCTCAACTTGAATTTCAAATTTTGCTTGTCAAAGCTGGTGAAGCACCTTTTACAAAAAATGACACTCCCATTGTGTCTCGTTTTCTGCGTACGTATGAGCCGTGAAAAATTCGAAATGTAAACATAGTGCGAGTTGTCACCGTCCGTTACCAACAACAGGTCGAAATGATCCTTTTTTTCTTCGTCGACCACACGTAACGGATACACTTCGTACGTTGGGTACTTACGGGGCGCCTGGAATTTTTTGTCGAGCCCGTAGACATTTATGGAGACGTTATTATTATTTTTTTCAAATTTGGTGATGTCTGATAGTGGTGTCGGGAACGATATACCGTTAAAATTATTTAATTTCTCACCTTTTTATAATTTTCTCCGACACAATATTTATATCTATCAGATAAATTTTCGGCCACACGCCTCGCCAAAATCGCCCACTTGAAGCACTCCTGATCCGTGTTTTGCGGGTTGATGGTTCCCCGTTTTCTATCTATATATTCAGGTAGTTGAATATACGACGAGCCGCCCATCGGTGTATATTTATACACGGTCAACAACAGCCCATCGATCGACTCCAGTGTAAATCCACTACCCCTCCCGATGTAGTCATCTTTCTCCTTCGTCAATTTCATATAAGCCCTCTCTACAATGGTTCTTATATCGCTGTCAGGGTAAATTTCAACTTCCGAGGTCTTGAACGCCCGGTTCTCCGATGAATTGGGGACGTTGGGCCGGTTGTATGTCGCCTCGAGCTTAAAATTAAATTTTATTGCGTGTTTTTCTACGTGTTTTTTTAATAAATTTACTAGTTCAGGCATAATTGGATGGAGAAAGTCTGAATAAATCATTGTATTAACCAGATTTTTAGTATAGTACCACACGATTTTACGGCTCGCAGACGACAAAATTTCTATGAACCCTGGTGATTTGACTAGATTCGACCTAACTTTTTTAGCGTTAGCAGCTGAGACGGTGTTTGCAGCGGAAACACGTTTGCCATTTACGGCTACGGTGTAAGAATCTTTAAAAAAAAACCTAATATTAATATCTAATAAAATAAATTTAATCCTATTAAAAATCTAATCAACCCGTGACTGAAAAAATAAAATCTAAGCAACTTATAAAATAATATCTTTTAAAATCTATTTATCCTACACTGAATAAAAATAATTTAATGACATGTCCCCAGAACAGTGCTATTGATATACAAAATCAGCGGGCCTTTTAAAAATCAATTCTGATAAATAAAATAAAAATCTAAGCAACTTATAAAATAATATCTTTTAAAATCTATTTATCCTACACTGAATAAAAATAATTTAATGACATGTCCCCAGAACAGTGCTATTGATATACAAAATCAGCGGGCCTTTTAAAAATCAATTCTGATAAATAAAATAAAAATCTAAGCAACTTATAAAATAATATCTTTTAAAATCTATTTATCCTACACTGAATAAAAATAATTTAATGACATGTCCCCAGAACAGTGCTATTGATATACAAAATCAGCGGGCCTTTTAAAAATCAATTCTGATGAATAAAATAAAACTAACCTGTATCCTCAAATTCGTCCATTGCGTTCATACATATAATATCGTCGTCGGATACCGCATTCGATCCACCGGCCGGGACATCTGGTACAAATATCTGCGGCGCGATTTGAATATCTCCCTGCGGATACTGTATGACGCTTGGTCGTGCTGGTTGAGCGGTGATCGGCGCAGCGGGTATTGGTCTCAAATGAGCCGGAACGTTTACGATACCTCAGGAAAAATAATATAAATTAATATTGTATAAGATAGAAATAAAACTTTATATTGTTAATACATACCATGAATATTCTTCATATGTTTGTTGAGCCCGGTTTTGTATGTGAATGTTAATGGGCAAGCAGTGCACGGAAAACGTACACCCATATGTTTTTTTTGATGTGCGATCAAATTGTGTTTCATGGTGAAAACTGACGGACACTGATCGCAATTAAACATGTTTAAAATGTTTGAAATGAAAACAAACGAAAAGAATATAGTGTTTAAACACTGAAAAAATTAAACACTTGAAAAAATTGTAAATACTGTTGAGTAAGGACTGTGTAGAATTTTGGGTGAGTCTATGTGGTGGGGTGTGTGCTATATATGGCTTTATAGAAGGCACGTCGCCTGCGTATTTTAATGCTTTTACTTACGTAGTGTTCGTTCCTTGTTTTGTGATATTTTGTGGAATTGGTTGGGTGTGGTATCGTTGGTGCTGGTGTCATGGCTGTGATTGTGGGTGGGATTTGAGTGGTGGGCTCGTCTGTAGTGGCGGTTGTCGTGGATTGGATTGTATTGAATTGTGTTGTCCTGGTTGGCGGTGTAGTGAATTGTATTGTATTGGACATGATGCTCTGATACTGTTGTAATCTTATTTGTGGTATGTCCTTTTCTGCGAAACAGATTGGTTCGACGAGTGTCGAAGTAACTGCATAATGGTATAGTACTGGGTATGCCTCCTGATCGTACTAGATGAGTTTAATAACTCACGAAACGATAGTTGAATCTATAATAAATTATCTGATATTAGTAAATCTAATCATATTATCTACAATATTTGAATATTCGTATGTTTAAACTTACTATAACCTCATCTTCAGGAATCGATCGATCATAATGACTTTCACTCATCAACATCCACAAAACTCTCAATTCTATATTACACCGTCGAGAAAGCGATCTCGCATGTGCTGACCATATCCTAGCCCTCTCGCCTGAATTTTGGATAAGTGAATAGTCATGGTACAACCGTCTTAAATAAATTATAGTGTCAGGGTTAGCTGACCGAACGACCGGCGTCTCAATTATCTCACTGAATAAAAAAAATATGTATATATAAATATATATCAAAATAATTTAAAATGACTAACACTTACGCATTTTGCAAAATTCGTTCGTTAGGTGAGATGTCGTCTTCGAGAATTATACGACACATAATTATTTAGTTAATATTAAAAAATTAAAATAAAAGTAATCAAAAGGAATAAATATCACAAATGAAGGGTACAACGTTAAAAACACGACTGGATTTCTAGGTCACCAGTGGTGGCGTGAACGTTTATATGTGGACTGTGTTAGTGGTTGTGTATTATAAAGAATGTGTTATAAATAATTTGGGTGGTAATGATTTTTTTGTTATTTTCTGAATTTCGATATGTCTCGTAAAAATGGGTTTTTGATCATTATATGTGTGGTTATTGGCATGCTTGTATTATTAAATTATGAATGGTAGAATTTTGGGTGAGTCTATGTGGTGGGGTGTGTGCTATATATGGCTTTATAGAAGGCACGTCGCCGGGTGCGACTCGTTGGCGCACATTTACCTTTTTTACGGCACGTTTGCGCACAAAATCACAACTCGTTTGCGCACACATATTTTGGGTTTAAATTATAAAGGTACAACTCATTTGCGCACATTTAACTTTGAGCAGAACAGCACATTTCCCAATATAGGCTTAGGACCATCTGTTTAGTACAGGCGTGATTAAAAAAGTGCATGTCGTGTGTGTCTGTTCTGAATAAATATATAATTGTACAATTAATAAGAAGTAATAGAAGTTCTATGCGTGTTTGTCATTTTTAAAATTTTTAATTTTTTTATTATTAACTAACCTTACTACATCACTCAAGGAACATTTTTTATTTGCACACCTAAAATGTGTAACACTAGATTTTAAAGTTCGAAATTCTCTAAATGTATAACTATCTATATTTATACACTTTTTACCTCGACGCGTTTCAAAAATATCACGAATTTCGATATCCATAGTCACTAGTCAGTATTATAGGTAGTACCGCTTTCTGGCGAACGACTGCTTAAAAATATTATGTTTAATACACGTCGATTATTTTCAATGATGATAATGACTAATGATATATTTAATATTGATATGCCGGTCATTTGTACTGATAATTTGTACCGATAATCAATTACTTTAGGTAAGTCCAAATTTAAAAATATAAAATTTATGTTATGCAGTGTTTATATTGTGCGCAAACGAGTCGTCCGTTTTTAGGTTAACGAGGGTATTAGTTGTGCGCAAACGAGTCATCGATATCTAGGTAAACAATTTGGATTGTGCGCAAACGAGTTGCACCGACGTCGCCTGCGTCTTTTAATGCTTTTACTTACGTAGTGTTCGTTCCTTGTTTTGTGATATTTTGTGGAATTGGTTGGGTGTGGTATCGTTGGTGCTGGTGTCATGGCTGTGATTGTGGGTGGGATTTGAGTGGTGGGCTCGTCTGTAGTGGCGGTTGTCGTGGATTGGATTGTATTGAATTGTGTTGTCCTGGTTGGCGGTGTGGCGGATTGAATTGTATTGAATGGTGTTGTCCTGTGTGGCGGTGTAGTGAATTGTATTGTATTGGACATGATGCTCTGAAACTGTTGTAATCTTATTTGTGGTATGTCCTTTTCTGCGAAACAGATTGGTTCGACGAGTGTCCCGCACTTGGCTATGGCTAGAATCCATGGCCCACAGTCGTTGTTTTACTGTGTTGTTGTGGTTCAATGTAATTTCCACCAAACCGAAAGCTGGACACTCGAATGTTTTTCCCAATCTGTCATGAATGTTTTGATTCTTGATAATATGTGTTGGTGGTTCCTATGCTTGCCATCATAGCAAACCACCATTCTGTTTTTAAGGAATACCACAATCATAATCCAGTGATTTCCCACGTTGATGGAAACCAATAGCGAGTCCATGTCCAGGATGGGTTTTTTGACCCATCTTACAATACCTTTAAGTCCTTCCTCGCAGTATTTTTTTTTAAAAAGTCTACACTAAAGAAATGAGATGCTGGATTTTCATTGGTTAGTATAGTTAGGTAGTCTTCAATTATGGAAGAGTTGTACCAGTATTTGAAGAATTCGTTCGTGTATCCTGCCATGGTTTTGTCTGTTGTATATTTCGTAGATTGTCTCAGTAGACTGAAGTGGGTTAGTTTTTATTTTTCGGTGGTCCATGTATCTCGTAAGTAGTATGAAATAGAGAGTTCAGACCGCCGATCCTGCCGATCCTGCCGATCCTTGCTGATCCTTGCTATCACCGCAACCCGATCGCACACGTACGCGACGTACATTTTACCCCTCCCCACCCACCACTTACGTTCGTGACGTATATTTTACCCCACCCCACCTCACCACCCAAACCCGCCGCCCATTGCTCATCATGCTCGTCATCGCCGCCGCCCGACGCGCACGTGCGCGACGTATATTTTACCGCGCCCCGTCCTTGCTCGTCATCGTATAGCGCATGCGTACAACAAAGTCTCTTATTATTATTATTATTATTATACCCGTCACTGATCACATATTTCAGCGCATGCGCATATATTATCTAAATTTTTCAAAAATTAAATATTGAAAAAGGGCCTGGAGAGATTCGAACTCTCGATCTCCGTCTTACTTTCTGGCGCTTTAACCAACTAAGCTACAAAACCGGTTTACTTTTAGTATGATTCTTAATGTATTTAGCTGTATGAATATTATTGTACACATCTCGATGTAATAACTTTATGTATCAAAGACTTATGCTTCAACAAGGATACTATACATGTACACCCCTTTGTATATTTTATACAGGCAACGACGTGTGTGTCCCGAAATACCCTAGTTATTGTTAACAATGACATTCTTCAACAAGGGTTGTGACTATACCCCTTTGTATATTTTTAACATTCTTCAACAACCCTATACATGTACACCCCTTTGTATATTTTATACAGGCAACGACGTGTGTGTCCTGACATACCATAGTTATTGTTAACAATGATATTCTTCAACAAGGGTTGTGACTATACCCCTTTATATATTTTTAACATTCTTCCACAGTCGTTGTTGTTGTACTGTGTTGGTGTGGTTCCATGTAATGTCCACCAAACCGAAAGCTGGACACTCGAATGTTTTTCCCAATCTGTCAAGAATGTTTTGATTCTTGATAATATGTGTTGGTGGTTCCTATGCTTGCCATCATAGCAAACCACCATTTTGTTTTTAAGGAATACCACAATCATAATCCAGTGATTTCCCACGTCGATGGGAAACAATAGCGAGTCCATGTCCAGGATGGGTTTTTTGACCCATCTTACAATACCTTTAAGTCCTTCCTCGCAGTATTTTTTTTTAAAAAGTCTACACTAAAGAAATGAGATGCTGGATTTTCATTGGTTAGTATAGTTAGGTAGTCTTCAATTATGGAAGAGTTGTACCAGTATTTGAAGAATTCGTTCGTGTATCCTGCCATGGTTTTGTCTGTTGTATATTTCGTAGATTGTCTCAGTAGACTGAAGTGGGTTAGTTTTTATTTTTCGGTGGTCCATGTATCTCGTAAGTAGTATGAAATAGAGAGTTCAGACCGCCGATCCTGCCGATCCTGCCGATCCTTGCTGATCCTTGCTATCACCGCAACCCGATCGCACACGTACGCGACGTACATTTTACCCCTCCCCACCCACCACTTACGTTCGTGACGTATATTTTACCCCACCCCACCTCACCACCCAAACCCGCCGCCCATTGCTCATCATGCTCGTCATCGCCGCCGCCCGACGCGCACGTGCGCGACGTATATTTTACCGCGCCCCGTCCTTGCTCGTCATCGTATAGCGCATGCGTACAACAAAGTCTCTTATTATTATTATTATTATTATACCCGTCACTGATCACATATTTCAGCGCATGCGCATATATTATCTAAATTTTTCAAAAATTAAATATTGAAAAAGGGCCTGGAGAGATTCGAACTCTCGATCTCCGTCTTACTTTCTGGCGCTTTAACCAACTAAGCTACAAAACCGGTTTACTTTTAGTATGATTCTTAATGTATTTAGCTGTATGAATATTATTGTACACATCTCGATGTAATAACTTTATGTATCAAAGACTTATGCTTCAACAAGGATACTATACATGTACACCCCTTTGTATATTTTATACAGGCAACGACGTGTGTGTCCCGAAATACCCTAGTTATTGTTAACAATGACATTCTTCAACAAGGGTTGTGACTATACCCCTTTGTATATTTTTAACATTCTTCAACAACCCTATACATGTACACCCCTTTGTATATTTTATACAGGCAACGACGTGTGTGTCCTGACATACCATAGTTATTGTTAACAATGATATTCTTCAACAAGGGTTGTGACTATACCCCTTTATATATTTTTAACATTCTTCCACAGTCGTTGTTGTTGTACTGTGTTGGTGTGGTTCCATGTAATGTCCACCAAACCGAAAGCTGGACACTCGAATGTTTTTCCCAATCTGTCAAGAATGTTTTGATTCTTGATAATATGTGTTGGTGGTTCCTATGCTTGCCATCATAGCAAACCACCATTTTGTTTTTAAGGAATACCACAATCATAATCCAGTGATTTCCCACGTCGATGGGAAACAATAGCGAGTCCATGTCCAGGATGGGTTTTTTGAACCATCTTACAATACCTTTAAGTCCTTCCTCGCAGTATTTTTTTTTAAAAAGTCTACACTAAAGAAATGAGATGCTGGATTTTCATTGGTTAGTATAGTTAGGTAGTCTTCAATTATGGAAGAGTTGTACCAGTATTTGAGATAATGTTAGGTGGGTGTTGGGTTTGGGTTTATGTTTTATCAAATTGCGTCTTGCTGTTAGCCCATCTGGTGGTCATAATATTTCGAATGTATATGTGATCAGTGGTTGGGGGTGAAGGTAGGTCATGTTTGTTTTGTATGTTGGGCATTTGTTGAAATGGTTTTTATTATTGTTGTTATAATATTTTGTTTTTTTGAATAAATAGATGGAATTATATGTTTTGGGATAAATGGATGATTTAAATAGTAAATACTGATGTATGTGTTATTTTGAAATTTTGGTAATTTGTTGGTTCTAATTTGTAATTGTTTGGTTGTGTAATATAGAATAATATGTTGTATCTTGCTAGTCCTTCTAATTCTATTTTGGGTATATAAGTTTAATGAAAAATGTGCCTTAATGGCCTATTGCAACTTGATGTTTGCTTTTACTATGTGAATTGTTACCTTAATAGCTAGGCTTGATTGAATTGATTAATATAAGTGTGATTTCACTTGTGTTACTAAATTTCTATAAAGGATAATGCTAGTTTTTACTTAAATTTATTGAGGATTACTATGGAACCCATGTTATATATATGTGAAGTTAATTTATGATAATATAAGTAATGCTTTTAGTTGAATTCTAATAAGCAATGTGGATTAACTTATTGCGTTATTTAAGACTAAATATTTATATATATTGTTAGGTTGATTCATAAATTTAAAATTATGTTTATAATTAAATTTCTTATAAATGATTTTTGTATAAAATTATCTCATGGAAATACGAGTAGAATAATATGATTAATACTTTAGATTAGGTATGGTCCTGATGGATTTTTGTTTTTTTGTGTTTTTGTAATTGTAACAAATATGTATAATGAAGTTGGATAATTAATATCTATCATTAGATAATAGTTAAAATTTTTTTTTATTGGGTAAGATTAAATATGTACCTAGTTGATTAAGTTAATAATAGTGTTTTTTTTGTGTGTTTTTTTTTTTTGATATATATAATAAAGTTTTATAATTAATATCTATCATTAGATTATAGTTAAGATATTTTTCTTAATTAGGTAAGATTAAATGTGTAGTTGATTGAGTTATATTAATAATAGTATTTTTGTGTTTTTTCTTGATTTTAAATATATATAATAAAGTTGGATAATTAATATCTATCATTGGAATATAGTTAAAATATTTTTCTTAATTTGGTAAGATTAAATGTGTAGTTGATTGAGTTATATTAATAATAGTATTTTTGTGTTTTTTCTTGATTTTAAATATATATAATAAAGTTGGATAATTAATATCTATCATTGGATTATAGTTAAAATATTTTTCTTAATTAGGTAAGATTAAGTATGTAGTTGATTAAGTTATTTTAATAATAGTATTTTTGTGTTGTTTTTTTTTGTTTTTGTTCTGTTTTTTCACTCAATCAGGGCTTCAAACTGAAATGATTTTTTTTGGTTAATGGTTTTAGTTCTTCTTAAATTTTTTTCGGTTTAAGAAACCGGTTAATATTGTTCCTACATTTTATGGTTATTAAAAACCGGTTTTTAAATTAATAAAACTAGTTAATTTCGTTTTTTATTGAACATTTTTTTTTCCAAATAATATTAATAATAATTAATATGTATCTATTACTATTTACTTGTATTATGTAGGTATATGTATATTTATACTGTCTACTATAAGAAAAAAACATACAACTACATATAAAAATTAAAAATATCTTTATTTTATAATTTTTATGTTTAAAACTTTTAAAATCGTTTTATATATAAGTATAGGTATAACAAATAACAATAGTACAATACTTTATAATAAAATATAATAATATAATTTTAATATGTAAGTTATAACTAATAAATATAAATTATAATATTTATAATTTACTTACTACTATAAGAAAAAAATATAAAACAAAATATTAGTTTACTTTACATTATAACTTAAAAGTTAAAACTTTAAACAATTAAGGTTGACAAAATGAATAACTTGTATGTTATACTTAATGAAAAAAATAAAAATGCCTAATTGTTACCCCGGATAACCATAATGTCTTCTAATATATTTTCATCAAGGCTAGTTCTTAAATCACTTAAAATTAATTTTATGCCTGAAAATGATCTCTCAACACTAACCTAAATAGTAAAAAGTACAAATAAAATATAAATATATACTTTTATTTTTTATATATATAGAGTATAATATAGACATAATATGTCCCATTCACTTGAAGAAATTGTTGATTTCAATAAACAACTAACACATTAACTACTAAGTGGATGCAACATAAGTTTGTACAAAATATATAAAATATTATTATTTATAATTATACAAGTTCTATATGAATATTTTTATTTTTTACTATAATAATTAATAGTTATTGTTATGCATTAACATTATGAATATTCAATATATATAATATATTGGAAAATACAAATTACATTATTATAGGCTATAGCTTTAAGTATAATTATTATTAAATATCAATTAAACTCATTTCATAACACAGTGAAACTTATATAATTTAAAATTCGATAAATACATAAATTATAATTAATTGATTAGTAATTAGTATACATATTATTAGTGTATTACATAGATATGTAACAACTAATAATTATAAATCACAATATAAATTTGTTATAAAACATTAAAATTTAAAAACTAAAATATTAAGAAAGTTAAATTATATTGTAATTACAATTAAACTATTATAGTTTAAACTTTAAAGGGTTTAAATTTGAACCTTACTTGTGTAGATGGGACTGCTAAAACTGTTACCGCTAATTTGTAAAGTTCAGGTTTAGATTCTTTTTGGGAGATCCACCATTGCAAAATGTTGGTCTTATGATGTAATCGTGGAGTTAAACCAAATGACTCTAATAAGATAAATTTTTGCACATCTCCAGTTTCACACGGTTAACGTGAGGTACTAGGTTCTTCACCTGGAGTTTGAGATTTGGTTTTTATTAATTCTTCAAGGTCATCATCAATTTCTATATCACTATTTTCTTCGTTATTTTTCGGAGAATTATTTTGTAATAGTTGATCTTGGGTACCGTTTCTAGTTACTAAATATTCTTGAGCTTCCCATACTTTACATAAATGTTTAATGGCTTTGATTTTACAGTCAGCACTTAGTAGACATTGATATCGTGCATCAAGATATATAGCTGAAATAATTACGAGTCCCAAATGACCATCTAACACCGCGATCAGAGATTTACTTATTTGACTCTGTTTACTCTGTTGTACGCACTAGATAAATGAAGGAAATTTTAATTATTGACGCACAAACACTTGTTCGTTAATGCACACTCGAACGATAACACACGGCGGATTTACGGTTGAAATCCCACTTCTGATCTGTTAACGATTTATAAAACACATTAATCAACAGTAAATAGTAATACCATGGAACTATACTTTATTAGTTAATTATAATTAGGGTTCGGATTTTAAGGCAATATAATCAATAAAAAAAGCATTAAAAATGTAAAAAAAAGGCAAAAAAAGGCATTTAATTTTTTATAAAAAGGCAATTCATAAAATATATACTACAAAATAAAATAAACTAGGTAGTTGGTATTAAAAAAAAAATTGACTACCATGTATTTTGATAAGCTGTCTTCAGAAAAACGGCTACGGTTAGGGGTTAAAATATTTTTGTACATCGAAATTAAATTTAATAAAATTTAAATTACACGGACGTACTGCGTCTTACACTGCCCGTTGGCTACTACTTCTACAATTGTTGTGAGAGTACCTACTTGGATTTATTGGAGGGGGGGGGGGGTCAGTGTGACCACCCTCTACATAGTTTATAACATTCGGCCATCCGACTTTGTTGGACGCCCCGGCCCAACTTTCGTTAGCTATCACTAATTATTTAACATAGTTTAAAATATTAGTTTAACATATTAACATAAGATATAAAAAAAAGAACATGTTTTTAATAATAAAAAATAAAAAAAATACAGGATATATTTGTTAAGTAGGTTTAATTAACTAACTATAATCCCTTAGATGAGCTGGTCTCTTGCGGACTCGCTTTGGTCGCGTTGGTGTTTCTTCATCAGGGGTTGAAGTCTGGGTTTCTAGATGTTGCACCTCTGTGTCCTGTTCAATTTCTTGGTCAGTACTCACTGTCCCATCCTGTTCAGCGTCACTATCCTCTGATTGTTCATCCTTTTCAGAAAAACGCTTCAAGGCACTAACATGAGCAGTTGTAGCATACAAATGCCCTCCTGTGTGGTGTAGGTCTGCCAGTTTGTATGTATCTCCAGCGTTCACTGCTGTCACGACCATCGGTCCTCTGAACTTTGGTTGTAGTTTTGTTGAGCTTCCAGTCTCACTGGTGGTCTTCTAAGGTACACTATTTCTCCCAGTTCCAGTGACATATGTTTACGGTGCTGGTCATGTCTCAATTTCCATGTTGCCTGTTTTTCTGCAATGTCCTCGCGCAACTTCTGCTGTGTAGTTGCTGGTTGCTGGTATACAGGAGTTGTGTTTGTCAGTGTATCGAGTAACCCATCTGTTTTAAGTGCATCATAACCATATACAGCAAAGAATGGACTTACTCCAGTGGTTTGGTTCGGTGCGGTGTTCAAGTTCAATTCTAACTCACTAAGGTTTTTATCCCAGGTGGCTTCATCGCCCATTTGAGTGGTAATTGCTCCTAATAGTGTAGAATTAACCCGCTCTACCTGACCATTTGCACGGGGGTGGCGTACTGATACCGCATGGTGTTCTATACCATTGGTTTCACAATACTGGTTGAAACATTCTGACTGGAAAGCTGTTCCTCGGTCTGTGATGATCCGCTTAGGTAGTCCATAGGTCAACGCAAATGTTTTCAGCTGTCCTACTACTACTCTTGATTGTATTGTTTTTGATGGATACAACTTAACAAACTTTGTTAAGTTGTCTACCAGCACTAAAATATAAGCATTTCCCTTAGAACTTACTGGAAATGGTCCCAGGTGATCTATGTTGACTGTTTCAAAAGGGCGATTACCAGGAGTTATAGGGTGTAGCATGCCCGCTTGTCTCCCTCGCAACTTCTTATATATTTCACACTCTGGACACATATTGATATGAGCTTTTACGTATCTTGGAATCTTTCTATTATTTATATTAATCTTTCTTTGGTATCTTTGGAAAATAATAGCGCTCCATCATCCTGGAGACAGTGCGTTCGACGGCAAAGTGCCCGCTGAGGTCGTGGAATTTGACCACTAGACTTTTCCTCATTCTCTTAGGAACCATCCAGAGCTTTCGGGGTCCTGTTGCTGACTGCACCAATCTATACAATAAACCATTAATTAATTTATAATTTTGGGTTGTTATTTTACTAGCTGTCGCCTGTTTTAGAGATTCCATGATCTCTCGTAGTTCTGGATCACTGTACTGCATCCCTTTGACATACTCTTCTTCAGTTACAGCTACACATACTTCCAATCGTTCAGTGATCAGGTCGTCCAATGTATCTGAGCTGTCTTCAGTAGGGGCTCGACTGAGAGCGTCCACATGTGACATAGCTGTAACGGCACGATGTCTCACCTCCACGTCAAATTCTTGGATCAGATCAAACCAACGAGTTATCTGAGAGTTGGTCGACTTAAGACTATTCATGTAGACAAGTGCTTGACAATCAGTAATGATAATGACGTGTACCCCAATTAGCCAAGAGCGCATCCTGTCAAGGGCCCACACGATCGCCATGAGCTCCAGCTTACTTGAGTGGTAGCGACGTTCCGTCTCACTGGTTTTTTTACTGTAGCAGTGCACTAGACGTAGCTCTCCAGACTCGTCTCTCTGCAACAGCATGCCTGCTAGTCCGTTACAAGATGCATCTGTATGTAACTCAGTCGGCCTGGTAGCATCAAACAATTGCAGTACTGGTTCACTAAGTAAATCTAACTTAATCTGTTCAAATGCACTCTGTTGTTCTGGTCCCCATTTGAACTTTGTTTCCTTCTTTGTCAGTTCATTAATTGGTCGTGCCTTTTCTGAAAATTTCGGTACGAAGCGTCGAAAGAAACTAGCTAGACCCATGAAGCGACAAACTTCATGTTCGTTTTTTGGGTTTTGGGAACTCTTCAATTGCCCTCAGTTTCACTACTCCGGGACGTACTCCATCAGCTGATAATTCGAAGCCCAGACATTCTATACTTTTCGCAGCAAATATACATTTGGTTGGCCGTAATGTTAGTTTCGCGGCAACGAGTGCTTCTAGAACTTGACGTAGGCGTTCCTTCATTTCCTCCCAGTCCCTGGCAGGTATGAAGTAGTCATCGAAGTAATTTATGACTATTCGATTCTTCAATCGTCCTATAGCTCGGTCCATCACCTTGGTAAATTCAAACGGGGCATTTTTCAACCCGAATACCATGCGAGTAAATTGACCTGTTCCATCTGGTGTGATGAAGCTAGTCAATGGTTTCGCAGCGTCAGTCAATGGAATTTGCAAGTAGGCGTGGGCCAGGTCTAATACGGTAAACATTCGGTAACCCGCCATTTGTTCCAATAAGTCATCAATGTTTGGTAGGGGGTAGACCTGTTTCACTGTTTGATCGTTTAACCGTCGATAGTTCACGACTAACCTCGACTCCCCTGACTTCTTACGCACTAGAAGTACCGGCGCAGCATAGGCTGAAGTTGAATCTTCGACAATACCGTGATCTCTCCATACCTGGACGTGCCGTTGGATTTCTTCCCTCTCGTTCCTAGATACACGGTATGGCTTGGCGGCAAACGGTTCGCTCCCTGGTTTGATGGTGATATCCATGGTGCCTAGATCAGTGCACCCTAATTCGCTCATATTTAATGCAAAGCAGCTCCTGTACTCGTTTACGAGGTTGAGTAACTCGGTTTGTTGCTCTGTGTTCAAACACTCCGGTTTCCGGATGTCGTCGTACGTAAGTGGACGGTTAAGCGGCTCCGCTTTCACCTGCGGAAATTGTGCTACTACTGCCCGTCTGGCGAGTATGTCATTAGCTTGCACTTCCACAGCGTGTTCGGAGTCGTTTTTCACAGGTACCTGTATCTGGACCTCATTCACCATTGCTGTCACTACCTCCACGCAATTAGCTTCTATGCGTTTGGTGTCGCGTACAACCAACGCACCCTCAGCTGAGCAGCTTTCGTTTGAAGCCACCTGAGTGAATGGAAATGAAATGGTATTATAATAGGTAAGTGAGTCTCCATGTTTAATGTAAGAAATCTCTGGCGCTTCACACCACGGTCGACCGATCAATAGATCAAGTTGGTGGCTGGTGTCAGGTACTATATATATGTTACGGGCAAAGTAGACTTTCGGGCAATGTAGGCAAAATTATACATTGTCCAGGCTGTATAGAATTGCCCAGTCTAGTTGGGGCAATATAAACCAAAATTTTTTATATTATAATTATAAACATTTCTAATCTTATCGATCTTGTTAATTACTTTATTATTTGAATATTATTATTATTAACTTAACTATTTATTTTTACAATTATCATTATATTTTTTATTACAATTACATCAAATAATACTTAAATATCATCATATTAATTATTTATTTTTGCAATTATTATTAGAATGGCATTTTGAATTGCATTTTTTCCCTGCCGCTTTACATTTACATTTTTTATTTGAACATTGTTGGGTACAATTACACCTATCATACCCCTGTCCTCCTAAATTTGAATATTTCCTCGCTGCTTCTCGTAATGTAATTGTTAGATCAGGCACCTCCTCTACAGTAACCAATTTTTCTTTGCACATAGTAAACTGGTTACGACTATATGTGTGTTCCAACTTTCCTTCGGTAGTTCCTATCTTATAGTTATCGTCATGAACTAAAATAATAAATAAAAATATCAAAATGATATGTATTAAACTTAAATGTATAATAAAATTTGCGTTTTACCTGCTAGAATAACTCCAAGAATACAACGAAGGTCGCTGCGAGCTCTGTCTACATCAGGTATTTTGATTTTGACGGTTTCACCCACTTTTGCCTCACAAAATCTTTTTTCGGATGCTTCTTTCATTCGATTAGCTTGAGTTTTTAAATTTACGACTGACTCTGTTCTTACAGCAGTCATTTTATTTATTCTATTATCTATTTTTTCTTCTTCATTTTTTTCTTCAATCAATGTTTCATCAACTTTACAATGATCACCAGTATTCATGGATGTAATAGCTGCCTCTAAATCTTCTTCAGTTTTTAATTTATTAATTATTGATATTGGAAGTACCGATGATTTTAATCCAATTTTAGCGCTACATCCAAACATTGCTTCATATGGACTGCATTTTATTCCATGATGTAACGATCGATTTTTCATCAATTGGACAAATTTTAGTCCTTCACTCCATTTTTTTGTTTTATTGTCTTGTAACCAAGTGGCAAGTATGTTTTCCACATCTTGATTGGCTCTTTCGACGGACCCTTGACTTTGCGAATGTCTCGGTTTTCCGTGTACAATTTTTAAATCTTCCCACATATTACATAATTCGTTTATTATTTTATTTACGAATTCTCGGCCATTGTCACTTTGTAGAATCGCTGGTGCGCCAAATGTTGTAAAAATATCAAGAAGTACATAAGCTACTTCTTCGGCACGTTTATGCGTTAATGGGCGAAGCAAAACAAATTTTGTTAAATGGTCCTGATACACTAAAATAAATTTATAGTTTCCGTCAGGTTGTGCTTGCATATCTATAAGATCAATTTGACATCTCGAATTCAATTCATTTGAGATGATTGGTTTTACAACAAGACCTTTCTTTGCAGTACCTACTACCTTTTTTTTGACAAGATATGCATAGATTTAAATATAACATAATTGATTCTCTTGTAATGTTTTTATATTTTTTATTAAGCTCATATTCCATACGGTTTCGTCCACCATGACCGATAGTTAAATGAGTATCATGAATAATATTAAATAATTCTTCATTAAAAACATAGTACTTAAGATCATTACCTTCATTACTCACTGGAACAATTAATTTTTCCATGTCAGATACTGTTATTACATCATATTTTTTCAAAAGTTTATGGCCTCTTGATTTCAGTTTAAGTTGTTTTACTTCAGATATTAATTCATCGTATTTAGTTTTAGTTAAATATGTACTATTAACATTTTTATTTTTTAATGCAATTTCTAGATTTTTTAAATATTGCCCTTCCATTTCAATTAATTTAGTTTAAATACCACACACGTTAATACAGCGAACACTACACTAACACTACGACGATACTTACTAACGACTTTCAACCGGGCAGTATTAACAACTCACATTTTGTACGATTCAATGATTACGATAATAATTATTGTACAATATCTAAAAGGTAAAACGGATTTACCGATAATATAATCTTGAAACGACGATAATTGACGAGATAATATTGAGAGTTTTGTATATTGGTACCTCGTGGCTCATACTAGTATAGGTATTTGAAATACTAACAGACAACGGTTTCATAATATTATAGTTGATAGTTTAAGTTACAATGTCTAATTTACTACGGGCAAAGTATACATGGACCGGTGAAAGTATCACCCTGCCCGATCATAATAGTATTTTAATATATTGCCCAAAAACAGCGGGCAAAGTATACATAGACCGGGCAGCATATTAACAAAACGTACATGATTTCGGCACCAGCATAATTCTCATTGGTCGGTTCAAATCGACTTGTTTTCCCGCGCTAATAGTTATCACATAGTTATATATCTGTTATCAACAAAATATAACAAAAACTTGCAATAATAGTTTCAACTTTTAAGTTTCTTTCTTGCATATATTATTAATTGTATAACATACTAGGTAATTAAAATGATTAATTACAAACATCTTCTTACGTCATTTACTAAAAGGGAAGGACAACGTTTTGTCTGCAAGTAAGTGGATATTGGTAAAATATAACATGATGTAACGTTTTATGTCAAATTTGATTTTCTAATACTACCTAGTACTTACCTATTTATCCTTGATTGTTGGATTGTGAATAAGTAATAAATAATAATATAATAATTTGTAATTGGCCCAGCCCTCCACATCAACATTTGACAACTACCACATATTTATAATTGTTTAGTAATGATTATTAATTTTCAATCAAAATTACAGATTATTGTTTGGTAACTGCAAAGCAATTTTTATTTCACAAACTCAAGAAAATAATATGCTCATAAAATATAAATCTAAAAACAAATTACACTATTAACATTTGATTCCATTATGATATAGGTATTGGATTCCCCATAAACTTAGACTTGCTTCCTGGAAAACACTCATTCCACTGTTATTTTTTGTGATTTTTCTTTTTAGTTAGGTCTTTAAGTTAGGTTCTTTAATATACCAAAAGGGAAGACCAATTTTTTTTAATAAGCAAGTTAATTATGTTGGTAGGCAAAGTATTTGTTACAATGTAACATTGTGTGTCTGATTTGATTTTCTTATACTATTTGTGTTATTAAAACCAAATCTCTTGGGAAACATTTTTGTCCACTTGTGGGAAACAGATTTCTCTTCGTCATGCTAATAAAGCTAAAATACGAGTTCAACCTACATCAATAAGTCGACGAAGACCTGGAGTGACTAGAGGCAGTAGTAGATTAGTGGTGGGACGACCAGCAAAAACTGAAAATTCGAGAAAAAAATAAGCGTAAAAGAAACTTACAACAAAACATCAATAAAAATCAACCAAATGCAAAATCACATTGAAATTATACTAATAAGCTAACAATGACAATTATCTTTGAAAAGGTAAAACTAGGATAATTACTAAATATTAAATATAACAATTAATGATTTTAAATAGGCATGTACCTAATTATAATTTACCTTTTAATTTATTTTATATTTTTTAGTTTTTAGATTTAATAAATAATTATTTTGTGAATTATGTAATTATACAGTGTAACAGACAGATGCGAGTTAAACGTACGACAAAAATTGTGATAAATATATGGAGATTAAATAATTTAAGGAAATCGACTTACAATAAGTAAAATAAAAAAAGTATTTACAAGACTTATAATTAGGTAGTAACTTTATGTTAAATTAAATGTGTTTCATATTTACAATTATCATCTTTATCTAGTTGTTATAAAAAGGATTTCTAACAATAAAAGGCATTATATAGTTTGTAAAATAAAAATTGCTTTGCAGTTACCAAACAATAATCTGTGATTTTGATTGAAAATTAATAATCATTACTAAACAATTATAAATATGTGGTAGTTGTCAAATGTTGATGTGGAGGGCTGGGCCAATTACAAATTATTATATTATTATTTATTACTTACTCACAATCCAACAATCAAGGATAAATAGGTAACTACTAGGTAGCATTAGAAAATCAAATTTGACATAAAACGTTACATCATGTTATATTTTACCAATATCCACTTACTTGCAGACAAAACGCTGTCCTTCCCTTTTAGTAAATGACGTAAGAAGATGTTTGTAATTAATCATTTTAATTACCTAGTATGTTATACAATTAATAATATATGCAAGAAAGAAACTTAAAAGTTGAAACTATTATTGCAAGTTTTTGTTATATTTTGTTGATAACAGATATATAACTATGTGATAACTATTAGCGCGGGAAAACAAGTCGATTTGAACCGACCAATGAGAATTATGCTGGTGCCGAAATCATGTACGTTTTGTTAATATGCGACCGGGCAATGTTCACATTGCCCGAAAGTCTACTTTGCCCGTAACATATATAACGGCTGCCGCCAGAGTTGCTTCGTCGATGCTCAGGCTGACTACAGTTTTTCCGATCGTAGTGGTTTGAGCGTTCGCGCCAAATCCCACAATTGTCGTGTTGTCAGGCTCCCAAATCAAACCGCATCGGCGTCCAGCACTTTCTCGTAAAATGCATACCGATGAACCAGAATCAATAAGACCGGTCATGGCGTGCACACCATTTAAATATACTTGTTTTTCATGCAAGGTGCCACCACTGCGTCGATCAGGTCCTATTGACGTACACATTGTGCTGTTGTCCGCGTTTGACTTTCCCTCTTCTTTATCTTTTACCGTACAGGATTTGTGGTGTTTACCGCCGAACCAGTGACATGAGGCGCACTTATCACCATTGCGTCGAGGCGAAGGACAATCACGTCGGCTGTGCCCTGTCTTTTGACAATTCCAACAGCGCAATTTATTTTCAATAGGCACTACGCTTTTTTCCTTGTCTCCAGACGCGACAGTACCAGCTGTAGTGACGTTGGGCGGCTTCGCACTAACACGTTTGTCGACTTCTCTGACAGTTTTTGGGCGCTACGGAGTTTTGTCTACGCAGCTATTTTCCGCACGTCCCTTTTGTACGCGCTCATATGCCACGATATCCGCAAGAAGTTCATCCGTGTCCATATGCCTGGCGGCTAAGAGGGTCCGCGATAATTCGTCCGACCACAATCCTAATAATATTTATTCTTTGGTGTCTGCGAATGTGAGATTAACTAGTTTGCATCGCCTCACTTTGTTGTGGAAGTAGGTGGTGGTCGATTCGCCCTTTATCTGTATTCTGGCTTGCATATGTGCATATCGTTGCGAAAAACTTGAGTCCGCTCGAAATGTCTTGTTGAATAGCGATTCAAATTCTGCCCACGTAGTGATTACATCGATATTGCTCAGAAACCAGTAGCGAGCTGCTCCGATCATATGCCGTCGGGCCATTTGCAACTTCAGCGAATTGGGCCATTTGTAAAGTTCCGCGGTGGCATTCAGATTATTCAGCCATGCGGTAGCTTCTCCACCGATCTCGCACTCGCCGTCAAAATCGCCAACAGTGTGAGATAAATCTGGCATAATTTGATACGAGTTGTTGATACTCGGCGCTTGGATGACATTGTTGACTAGTAAGGCTAATAATGACTGCAGCATCGGGTCATTGCCGATCGAGCCAGTAGTCGAATCACACGACGAACCGTTTGCTTCATTATTCATGACTTTGTCGTTATTAGTTATTACACCCACGAACTCGCGTATTTGTGTTTGTCAACAACAAATGACAACGTATAGTGATACTGTGATAGGATATCAACAACAGTGACAATGTACGAGCGTCTCGAGAGCAAAATTGCGCCACCAATCAGAATCGTTCACATTTGTTATCACTATTTGTGAAAAATCACGTTTCTTATCATAGATAATAAATAATAATATATATAAAAAAATAGAAGACTTTTTTCAGATAAATCGATATTAGATAGGTAATCATAAAGCATAATCGTATTAAGTGACAACTTATACTTACTTGTAAGTACAAGTGTTACTGTGTAATTAAAGGGAAAAAACCACAACATATTAAACATTTTATGTTTTGTATTTTCAAAGTAAATAAATATAACATATTAACATATAAATAATACAGTGACAGTGATTGATTTTTCATTTAATATTATACTTTAAGTTTGTCAATTTGATTTTATATGTAAACTAGCTGATCCCGTGTACTTTGTTACCCGTTAAATGTACCAAATCTATGACTTAAACTTTAAAATTTTCTTTGGACTTAATTATATTAACGTTGTTTATAAATTATTTCTGATTTCAACCAATGTTTATTTTTATAATAGCTTTAAAACCCAAGGCAAACATTTATAAACAAAAATATCCACCGTAAATCTCAACATTCCTGTTTGAGCACCTCCCCGGAATGGGCCTGCCGGGTCCGATTGTGAATCTAAACCATTCAAAGGCCCACTCAACTTACAAACACTCGTACAGTAGAATTATATATATAAAGATATAAATTATATATAAATAATTATTAGCCCTTAGGTTTAAAATATTAGTCACAATTATAAAATGTAAATATAATGAATTGATTCAGTGATTCAATGACATTTTAATGAGCTGAATCACATGAATTAGTTCACTAATAGAATTGAAAGTATCCAATACCCATCATAAACCTGTATGATTGATGATTATTATATTATCACATTATAATTTTTATAAAGGATGATAAGAAACGTGATTTTCACAAATAGTGATAACAAATATGAACGATTCTGATTGGTGGCGCAATTTTGCTCTCGAGACGCTCGTGACAATGTTGAGTACGTGATAAGTGATTCCGGTTACCAATTACCGACGGTACCACGGTGGTCGTCTAATATTTTATAACGTGCGACACTTTACCGAAACGTCGAATGGTTAATGGCGCGTAACCTCACTTTCCCGCACTTACTACTTTACGAAACCACGATGCACGCACGCTCGTATCCCACTTCTGAAAATGTTAAAGACCACTGTTATATTTAAATCATCGAACACAACACGTTTTAAACGTTTGTTTAAACACTTTATTTTAACATTGACTCTTTGAGTAACAAAACATTAACAATCAACAAATTACTAAAATTACAACAGTTTTAAATTACAAGGGACGTACTGCGTCTTACACTGCCCGTTGGCTACTACTTCTACAATTGTTGTGAGAGTACCTAATTGGTTTTATTGGGAGGGGGGGAGGAGGGGTCAGTGTGACCACCCTCTACATAATTTATAACAGAAAGTAAATTTTGATTTAAAGTCTTAATAGCATAAAATATCCTGAAACGTATGTATAATAATTTTAAATATTCAATATTAAAGTTTGGACATGGATGGCTAAATGGGACATTATCAATAAAGTTTTTTAATTTTATACCTACATTGTTTTCTACAGCTAAAATTGGAAAATTAACAATGAAAATTGTATCTAATTGATTTACATAATTATAAAATGTGTCAGGTGGCATTAAAAGATTTCCAAAAGTTGTATTTTCTTTATTCGTGTAACTTTTAAAATAATTAAATAAAAAAGAAGCATCTAATTTATCTTGTGTTTTAGCAAAATTTAAACAAACATTACAAGAGTGTTTATGTAAACATTTTGAAATCAAATATCCACAAACATAGGTCAATGCATTTCTAGAAGGTACATTTAGATCTCTATAATCTACTGTCCCTACAGATAATGAACAAAATTTAAATGGTGTTTTTTCAGAAAATAAAATTTTTGTGTTAAAAGTAGGAGAATCGCCTAATTTAGTTAAGATAATGTCAAGATCGTCAATGCAATTAGTTCCATCGGAGTATTTAAAATAATTAATAAAAAAGACTTTTTTAAAACTCCAAATAAATTGAATTGGTGTAGGGTTTTGATTATTACCGTTTTGCTGTCTAAAATTCCCAAATAAATTTTCTAGGCAATCTTGGTTTAATCTGTTTGTAAACAATACAGAATATGTCTCTTTTATATCATCCCATAATTGCAATAAAGCACTAATTGTTATTTTCCACCCAGTTATAAACTTCATCCTATTAGTAATATTTTCATTTTTATAGTTCTTTACTATTAAATTGTTAAAAATAGTTAACATGAATAATAAATGTTTATTTTGTTCTTCTGTATTTTTAAATGGTCTATTAAAATTTTTACTACCTCCCTTTTGTTTAGAATTTAATAAATCAAATAGTTGGTCCATATATTCTATGAATTTAATGGTAAATGTAGCTGATTGAGATAAATGTCCCTATGTTATATGACATTTCATACCTGCTGCAACTGTAGCACTAAATATTTGAGCGGCATATTTTACCTTCATTTTTTGGAAAGATCCAGGATTTAAATGTATGTCGGTTAATTTTGGGGCAAGTCTGTTTATACCTTTATCATTTGAATAAAACATATCTAAATATTTTTTATCGGTAACATTATCATTATAATTAAATTTGTGAACAAAAAAATTATTTCTAGTTGACTTTGGAAGATGAGGAGGGTCAAATATATAGTAAATTTTTTTATTATTTACAGTAAAAAATGGTCGTTCTTTGGAGACATTAACACTTTTTGCAAAAGCATAGAAGTTGGAACCCTGATCAGTGAGAACTTTAATATTTAAGGTAGTACTATGTAAACGGTTAATAACAGCGAATATTGTATTTTGTAAAGTAAAACCAGTACAACTATTGTGAACAAAATAATAAGCGATAGGCTGTTTCCAAGGAAATTTGAGTCCTCTAATCATAAAACAAAGACATGTTTAGCAGGTTCATAGATTTGTTGGTTATAAGTTTCGTTAAAACCAACTATAACATCTTTAGAAATATTATAGTATAAATTACTTTTTATAGCCATTTCACCAATACATAACACACAATCTTTATATTCATCGCTTAGGTTATTGGCTTTAAATGTTAAGTATTCAAATAAAATATCATTAAGACCAGAAACAATTTCATACTTTTCAGTAACTCTACGTAAGGTTCTAATAGAAGGCAACTGAAAAATAGTTTTTAAAAACGCATATGCTCGAGGACCAAAGAAATAAATAGTGAGAGCTAATTGTTTTACCTCATTGTTGTACCGGTAACCATGTGGATTTTTTTTAGCAAGATCTACAAAATTTTTTATTATCATAGATAAGTTAGGTGGAAGATGTGCATCACACACCTCTTTAAAATGATCTACTGAATGGATAGACTCAACTACTTTTAAAGATAATGTTTCAACCTGTTTTTCTAACTTAGCACACTTAGCTTTTAATGAAGATATTTCAGTCTTTAACTTCTTTTTCCTCGGAGTATTAACAGATAATTGTTGAGTTGTTTGTGAAGAAGTAGAAACTGTACTGCAAGTTGATCCATCAGCTGTTGATGCAAGTGAGTTTTCATCGATCATTGATGTTGAGACTTCTTGAGTGACATGGGTATTTACTATAAATGTAAATTAAAATTATAAAAAAAGTCTTGTTACATTATGTACATTGCTATGTATTTAAATAATAAGTACTAACAATGGCAATTTTCAGAAATTGTAGGTGTACTGGTTCTTTGTGGTTGTTCATAATGTATAGTCAAATCATTTGGTTTTATAGGAATTGTTGTCAGTTCACAATTAAGGTCTATATTTGTAACATTAAAATATAAATTAATAAGACTCTAAAATATGTGTGATTTTAATCTTTGATATTACATAATACATACTAAACAAAGTTGGGTTCCATGTCATAATATCTTCGAAATAATATCTTCGGTCAAAATATCTTGATCAAAATATCTTTTGTGAAAATATCTTATGACAAAAATGTATTCGGTTAAAATATCTTTTAAACTGATTTTTTAAAAATGTTTATTCATATTATTTATTTATTTTATTTTTATAAATATATCGTGTACCTACAACATTATATAATAATTGTTTAATAATATAGTGTTAGTAATTAGTATGATCCTTATAAAAATATAAAAAACAGAAAAAATTATAATTGAAAAATTACTATAAAAAACTATTTGTAATTAAATAAATAAATTAAATAATATGAAATATATAAATACCACTTGTAACACTTTGCTCACAATACATACCGCCGGAGGTCTTCCGACGTATATTTGAGTATATAGAGATTAATTGATTACATATGCATATAAATTAAAAAATTAGCTTAAAAAATATTTTGACTAAAGACATTTTTGCCGTAAGATATTTTGACACAAGATATTTTGACTAAGATATTTTGACTAAAGATATTATTTCGAAGATATTTTGACCGGTCACCACAAAGTTGGCATCGCTTGCGGCAAGAGGAGTGTTTTTTCAGGATTACTGTACATTTTGGGTTCAAAATGAACACTGCAAATCCTAAAATTTCTGTAAATAGATTCAACTGGTGTATTTAGGAGGTCATGTCGTCCACATGCCTTAAGCCATTCAATACACCTACAACAAATCAATACATTTAACATTATTGAAACAATATTCATTAGTATGAAATTGGTAAATCACTAAAATCAAATCAATTTAATTATTTAAACACTGAAACACTTACCGGTCTTTCATAGAAGGAAAGCGATGATACATATAATGGTTATCATTTTTCATACAATTTTTGCAGCCTTTTGCAGCACATCTCACTCCTCCCATTGTAAAATGTAAATCCCTAACTAAGATTTTAATCAATAAAAGTAAATTATAGACTAATGCGTCTAAAATGTCAATACGAATTATAAACGTGAAGCAATCAAATAAAACTTATTCAATATTTTGAATTTTCGTTATTATATTAATTCTTATCTTTTAAACTGATAAGAAACTAGGACTCCAAAAAAATGGCGACGTGGTATTGTTTACATTTGAAAAGTGTCCATTCTGATTTCATCTATTCTGTGGTTATGCTATTATGAAGATAGCTACCGTTCCAAACGTCTGGTGTCGTTCTCTCCCGCCAATTATGAACTAAGATAGTACTATCAACGCTAAAACAGCTGCAAACTCTAGCAGCGACATTATCACATAGATAATATAATTATATTAGTAAGTTCGTCATCAATGTAATGATTATAATATAATTGTAAATGTAAATGTTAACGATTTATAAAACACATTAATCAACAGTAAATAGTAATACCATGGAACAATACTTTATTAGTTAATTATAATAAAATACAATAGACATATAGAGAACAAACGATAAAGAGAAACATATAGAGTGCGCAACGACCGTCCGATAGGAACGGTACGCAAGACTGCTGCTTCTCTCCGCCAGTCGAGAGCACTGTACTGCTACCTACTCCCCCCTATAATTAGTTATCATAAATTATCATTATAATTTATCAAATAATTAAATATCTTATTTTTGTATAAAAATAACATTTTTAAAATAATGGGCACCAGAAATTTTGGTATGGGCAGCTGCCCACCCTGCCCATACGCTAGAACCGCCACTGAAGTGGGCCCCACACTCTTGCTGTTTTATAGAAAAATTAAAACAATAAACACTACAAATGTATAAACGTAATATATTTTACGTAATATTTATTTACTCATTCAAATATTTTTTTGGTTTATTTTAAATGTTTTATATTTATTAATGAATAAATTCTTGATTCCATTCTAATTATTCAATACGCTTAATTTAATAAATAAAGTATAATTTGCTTATACTGCAACACCACGTATCTCAGTTTTTGTAGGTTTTCAGGAGCAGCAAATAACGTGATTTAAATGATTTATACTTACTAATTTCAGTACTGGTAATGTTTAATTAATATATTTTGTACTTATAATGTATTTTAAATATATAAATATTATATTTAGAGTAAAATAATGGTTTTAAATGAGATACGTGTAGTTATAAAATATTAATATTGAGATAGGTTGTTTTAATGATTTCCCATGTATGGTTTTTAAAATGTATAATGTTTAAAATATATTTTGTTTATTTTTTAGAACATTAAAATAAAATACGTTTTTAATATTAATAAGTACCATGTAAATTCTTTTTTTATTATTAGGTATAAAAATGAACAATTTATTTCAACAAATAATAACAAGTTTAAACAGTCTGTTACTCAACAAATAAAATATTAATTAAAAAAGAATTATAATAAAACATAACTAGGTATAAATTAACTAGTAAATAAAATTAACATTGCTTTTGAACAGTCTTTTGTTACACAATAAATAAAATGTTAATACATCATTTAAACAATATTTTAAAAATATAATCAATCATGACTATAAATCAACAAGTAAATAAAAATAATAACACTTTTGAACAGTCTTTTGTTACAACTAAAATTAAATTAAAACTTTATAAATAGTATTTTAAAAATAATTTAATACAAAATAGTAAAAAACAACAAGTAAAAAAATAATCAAATTTAAACAGTATTTTTTTGGTCTTCATTTTTACTTTTTTTCTTGGCTTTACGAACACTCTCATCCATATGTGGCAATGCGTCATAAAAACAATAACAATCATAGGGCATTATGGACTTTAAACTTTGAAGATCATTCCACTTATAAAAGCTAATTTTTTTTGGGTGTTGATGAAGTTTGGGAAAATTAAAAATATCTTCTTTATCAATTTTGTTTGGCCTTCTTGGCAACTCATTAAAAGGATCACTGTAGTTCAGTTTATACAATATAACACCTATTGGACAATATTGTATAACTCTTAAATCTGTCACAACATGGTCAGAAGCTACTCTTCCTGGTCTTATTGATTCATAGAACATCAGCGTTTTATTACTGTAATCCAAAAAAAATTGAATGTTAATAATTTTGAAGTGTATGGAAATAGATAAATTCTGGCTTCTTTTGTTAGCTGAGATAGTTGACTTGGTAAATAGCAATCAGTCTTCTTAAGTTTTCTTTCAATCACACTGTGTACACTGTCACACTCCATTTGAGTGTGACCATTCTCTAGAAACTTTTGTGTTATAGTTGTGTCATATTTTATACATAAATGTAATAAAGCATTTGACATAACACAATTTCGGTTCTGTGCAGTGCAACCATCAGAGTAAATTATAACTGGTTTTAAACTTTTCTTTAATGTTTCTTCGATAACATCAATCAAACACGAAACAAATGTAGATGCTACAAGTTCAGTTTGACTTTCTTCAAACCAATAGTTAATGCTTTAATTAGTACTCAAATTGTATACAGTATAGTTGTGAACAGCAAGTTTCATTTTAAAATATATAGAACTTTCTTGTGAATATGGAGGCAATTGTACCGCCATTAAATCACAAGTAAAAACATGACATTCACTAGCAGCTGCTAATATTTTGTCTTTGGATTTTTCATCTCTTGCTTCATTTTTTTTTAAAACATGCATTTGGTACTCTTCTTCAGGCAAGTTTTTCAAATTATATTGACAACATTTGTCACACTGGTCCTTTTTGGGTGAGAAAATTGAAAGATTTTTTTGGAAAAAAATATTGTCAAATGCTTTTCGGCATAATGGTTTTTCATTATCAGTTTTACATTGACTAGAATAAATGTTGTAAAGTTGTGTTGTTGATTTTATTTATGTCTGTAAGTATAATTTTCTTGATGACTTCCTACAGTAATGAGATGGAAGTTTTGGAAGTTTATCAAAAAATGTATTCAAGTAATTATTTTTGTGTTTTATTGCTCTCCTAGAGTTACCTGTTATGGGCTTATTAGTTTCATTTACCAAGGAGTAAATTTCTTCATCTTCGATTCCCACTTCCTCTCTAACATATCTTGGAGCTTGTGATCCATACTGATTTTTATATTCCAACCAATACCTTAATGTATTTTCCTTAATTCCTAGAGTACTTAAAAACATTTGTTTGCAGACCCCTAGCTTATCATTCCCAACTTTTAAATAATAAAAATAAGAACCATTTCTTCGAGATGTGGCGCTTTCAGTGGTTCTTTGCTTGGGAATTACTTTTTCTACCAGTGATAAAACAAATATTTGTTTTTCTCTCCACGATGTCATTGACCAGAAATTTTTAAAAATATCTAATCGATCTTCATTTTTTATGTCCAAACAAAATCTTGTATTCCATTTCTCACATACTTTAGACTGACATGGTGGTCCAAGATTACATCCTTCTCGAGGTGTGTCATGTAAAATATTCAAAGTGTTATCTTTTTCCTTTCTTCTGTACCCTATGTATGATTCTCCTTTAAGTCTTTTGATTTTAGTTTCATTTCTGCTCCAAGAATTTGGATTTGAAACTCTATTACGTTTCCTACCATAATTTTATAAATTGTTATGAATGTCTTCTTCATATTCAACAACTTCAATATTTTGGTTCTCAGTTATTGAAGAAATTATTGTGCTAGGTGTATTCAACATTTCCTCATCTATACTCTGTAAACCTTTTTCTTCACACTCAATAGTTTCAACATGTTGATGCTCAGTATTTTCTTCCAGCTGATTGTTAAAATTATCAAATTCATAGAGTTCAATATTATTTAAGTTTATTTCATAGTTATTGCCATCTTCAAAAGGTGTGATATTATACTGTTGCATAGAACTATCATTATTATTTATCCTAGTAGTTGTTGTCTTACAATGATGTTTTTTTTTAACAGCATCAAAAACAATCATCAACAGATAATAAATTTAGATCATCACTGTCATATTCAGACTCAATATCAGACGTCATGTTCGTACTAACCATTTAAGTTGTAACGAGACAGAATTATGTCAATTGCGAAACAGCGTGCGCGCTCTAGGAGTGCACACATGCGCGACGTACTAAATACACGTGGTAGCACGACTAATTGATTATGACTTAAAAGTACTATAGAACAATATTGAAGTTAACTGGAACTTCCTAACTGTTAAAAGAAATCACCTATACTACCAGCGAAGCTCATTAAGTCTTCGGTGGTAAATTTTATAATAATACGCTGTCACCAGTACATAATGATAATCTACCTAGAGTGCGTGCGGGTGCATTCACTCTTCGGTAACGATAATCATCTTGAACATATATAATTCAGAAACCTCCAATATAATAAAAAGACTATAATAACAGACTCGTCACCACTTATGCTGACAAAAACCTGCCGCCGCCCACATTCGAGAAAATACCTAAACAAACGAAAATCGCCGTGGTATGCACACACGGGAACGCTGTACTACCTACTACCTCAATGCGCGAAACCTACAGATATACCAGTCGAAAATACCATTGGAGCATCTCGCCTCGCAGTAACCGATTCAGAGTTCATTTAGTCGAAAGGCCACTAGTTCTATTACGTTCGTTGTTCGTTTTACCCTCCTCTAGTTTACTGTGTGCAGTATGTAACGGAACAAAACCGCGTTACCTATATAAGTGGCGCGATCTGTGTCCCGTCACTAAACCAGTCCGCTCGCCGACCAACACGCGCTCTCGTGCTGCAAACATGCCCAGAACATCATAACCACCGTGATTGACGTCCGACAGGCGGAGCACACATCGCCATGCCAATACAGACGATACGGCGGCCCCGGGGAAACTCGGTGTTCATAAAAAACCCCGCAACTTAAAACCATTTTCATACTACTATAAAATTCTACAGAACCTGCGCTACATGATGGGTATTTTTAATGTATTTTAAGCTACCAAGAAAACATTGAAATCCGCAAAAGCATTTCATACATTTTACACACCATCGATAATCAGAGAATATCATATATAGACCTCGAAAACGCTGTCCAGAGCACCACTTCCTCGCTGCGTCGAATGCATTAGTGAGCCGGACGAGTCACTCGACTCGTTAGACACGGACACTAATCATTCGACAAACCAGCATACGCCCTGCGACTTATTGTAAGCCGGACGAGTCTTTTGAGCTCGTTAGACACGGATGCAATATACAGTCTGCCCCGGCACACCCCAGTAACGATCGGTTATTACGTCGAGCCGTGCTGCCGCGTATCATCCGCTGTCCCTCGTGTTACTTTTGATAACACTGTTATTACGTCGAGCCGCCGCCGTCCGAGCCGTGCTGCCGCGTATCATCCGCTGTCCCTCGTATTATTTTTGATAATACTGTTATTACGTCGAGCCGCCGCCGTCAGAGCCGTGCCGCCGCGTATCAACTAGTATCTCGTGCCGTGAGACGACATATACCCGTAGTCCACCGCCAATCGTTTGGAACTGTATCACCGCCGTTCGAGTAGAGTGTGCAATTCGATCAACTTATTCAATTCTGGTTTGTCGTGTCGGTCGAGTATTTCGAGTTGTTCCTATCCCGCCGACAACCAGATTGAAGAGCATCACCGCCGCGCACATTGCTGTCAGTGAAGCTGTCCAAGGACCCATTCCAGTGTATTACGTCGAAGACGAATACGCCACACACGGATCATATCAAACTCCACCAAGTCGTGAGTTGAATGTAAACTGACCCCCCTTTATATGTAAATCCCCAAATAAACTATTTTTACTGTTCACTCTCCGGAGTCAACTTTAATTCAATATAAAAGAAAATACTGTTATAAGATTCATACATATTGTATAAACTCAGATGATGAACACATTGGTTTTAAATAAATAAAATACTATAATTATCAACCAAGTGCGTTTCATTACAAGTAATACGTACTCCGTATTGACAAGCTGCACACACCTAAGCCAGAGGAGTGGCCCATAGCTGTAGTAGATTTGTGGTATCTAGTAATACGTGTATTGACAGGCTAGATACCACATCTCTCGGGAGTCGCTACCCCAGCCGCCATCGCCGCTACTATTATAGCCGCCGCCGTTACTATTATTACCGCCGCCGCTACTATTATTACCACCGCCGCTACTATTATTACCACCGCCGCTACTATTATTGCCGCCGCCGCCGATAAAAATCTAATTTTATCAAATTTTGAGATACGTGGTGTTGCAGTATAAGCAACGTTATGTGATAAGAATTTATATGTGAATTTAATAGAATTACACAAGGCTTTATCTACTGTGTTTCAATACATGCTTCAGAACATGCTTTCAATTCTGCGTGTAAGTCAGCTAATCGTTTGGTTCCAATACAATTGGACGGATCCAATTAAGGTTCCAAATATGTAGTACATATATATTTTACATAGTCTATTGACAAGAAATTTGCAGCTGCTAACAAATAGTTGAGAGCATTTTTAACATCTTGGTCGGGAGGTAAAACCACCCTAGATGTTCTAGGCCTTGGTTCTTCTTCTTCTGCTTCATCTTCTTCTTTGCCTGATGGACCATCAATAACTGTGTATGAATCAAAACTTGGAAAACTGGCATGCATAATACATTATGCCTCCTTAAATTTCGTTTGAAGATTTTTAAAATGTTTAAGATATTTTACAAAACACATCATGTAAACCTAAACAAACAAACTTACTTTAAATCAAACTACCTATGTGTAACATTCAATTTGTTATAAAAGGTTGTACCATCTAAATCCATGAGTGTATCATTGAAGTGGTCCGTTCTCCTCAAGAATGCCAATATGTCATGATCTATATTGTGTTGCTGAACATTTTCCCTTATATTTCTTGTTGTGTTTTCTCTTCCTGCTCTTGAACAAATATCTCTGATCTGTTTGATTTAATAAATTATTTAATTTGTTAATTTAAATGCCATACACATTTTAAGAAAACGTTTTAGTTAAAATACACTCCGGACATCATCGTGTTAACTAAATTATAACTGGCAACCGTTTATTATCAAAACTTTCATATACATTAAGAAGTTCAGACATACAAAACTTATTAGTAATTTTTATGCAACTCGACACGAGGCACGACACGCACAAATCATCGGTTACGCACTCTCCGCACTCTCATGCTCCGGACGTTGCAGCATACTAACTATCCAGTGTCCACATCCGCTGTCTCTAGCCCATGAACATTGTGCAGTGCCGCCACCTTTGCCTCACATAATACTTTAGATAACACCCGACCACTCCTGACCAACATTCGTCCTCGAACTGGCCTGTTGTGATCAACATGTCAAGTATCTAACATCAAGCTACACTTATAACTAACAATATACTTCAGCATAACTTTTATGATATAGTTCCATTAACAAAAACTTTTATATAGTATTAATTAAGCAGCATCACTCGACTAGAACAGTAATTGTTCATATACAAAAAAAAATTAACATAGAATTAAATAGACTACATAACTCAACTAGAACAGTAATTGTTCATATACAAAAAAAATAACATAGTATTAAATAGACTACATAACTCAACTAGAACAGTAATTGTTTATATACAAAAAAAATAACATAGTATTAAAAAGACAACATAACTCAACTAGAACAGTAATTGTTCATATACAAAAAAAATAACATAGTATTAAATAGACAACATAACTCAACTAGGACAGTAATTGTTCATATACAAAAAAAAATTTTCTTTACATCATCTCATTAATACATTTGATAGTCTTGGAACCGTCTTGGCACCTTGACCTCCCTTCGGGCCCTTCCCTTGACCTCCTTGTGTGCTTCGTTGTCCTCCTCTGATCTGTCCTCTTCCTCTGGTGCTATCTTCCACGACTTCAGTTGGCTCACGTGCGCTGTGGTTGTAAAATGCCTTCTGGCCCCTTCTTGCAGCTGGGCTACTCGATATGCGTCCCCTGGCAACACCTCAGTCACCACTAGTGGTCCTTTGTACTTTTCTTGCAGTTTTGTAGACTCACCGGTGTGAACTGGTGTTCTGCTCAGAACTACCACCTCTCCCACAGTATACTTGATGTGGTCATGTCTGTGTTTGTCAAACCTGGCCTTGGTTTGTTCCTTTTCCTCCTCCATGGCGTCACGTATCTCTTCCCTTAACGTTTCCGGACAAGTCCAGTCTTCCGTAGTGGTAGACAGTTCCCTTAGCTTACCCAAGTCATAACGCGGTCGATAACCATGTAACAACTCAAACGGAGTTCTCCTGGTAGTTTTACTTTCGGAATTGTTTATCTGCCTTTGCACCATGGGCAATAGGTCACTCCACTCTTCGGTTTCTTTAACTTGAGTTCGTAGCATTGACGTTACCACACTGTTAACTCTTTCACACTGCCCATTGGCCTGCGGTCGCCTAGTTGAAGTTAGCCCATGCAGTATACCGTTGTCTTCGCAGTACTCTGTGAAAACTCTAGAAGTGAAGCAGATACCTCTATCTGTGATTAACCTTCTAGGCAGCCCATACTGTGACACAAATTGTTGCACCTTTGCCAACGTGCACAACGCGCTTGTATCCTCAGCTGCAAATAGACATACAAATTTAGTGAAATTGTCTACTAAGACCAACACATACTTGTTTCCCTGGTGACAGGTTACAAAAGGACCCATGTGGTCGGCATGTACAATCTCAAAGGGTCTTCTTCCAACTGGCATTGGGTGTAACAACCCAGGACGCCTTCCCCGTGGTGTCTTCATCATTAGGCACTCCAAGCACATGTGGATATGCTGTCTTACATACCGTCGCAACCCTGGGAACCAATAGTCTTGCAATATATGGCTTACCGTTTTATCCACAGACTGGTGTCCGTTCAGGTCGTGCGCGCTTACTAGTATGCTTTTCCTCATGCTCCGTGGCATCCGGAACAACAGTTTGTCCTTACAGCGTCTGTACAGTAGTCCATTTCTAATTTCATAGTGTCTTGTCCTACCGTTTTCGTGTTTGGTTCTTTCTTCCTTTGGTTTTTTCATCATGTTCACAATTTCACTGACTTCGCTGTCCGACCGTTGTGCCATCATAACCTTGTCTTCAACCGTCAGCACGTTGCATACGTCCAGGTCACTGCACAGTATCTCCTCCACCGCACCTTCTGTTTCGTGGTCAGTTTGTGGAGCTCTGGATAACGCGTCGACATGCTGCATCTTAGTTTCCACACGGTATCTAACCTCGACCACGTACTCCTGTAGTAGGTCATACCAACGCGCTATCTGTGGATTGCTTATCCGGCACGAATTTAAATAAGTCAACGCTTGGCAGTCAGTGTAGATAGTAAACTGAATTCCTAACAAATAGGACCTGAGGCGCTTCACTGACCATACCATGGCCATGAGCTCTAGTTTACTGGAGTGGTAGTGCTGTTCTGCTTCTGTTAATCTCTTACTTACACAGTGAACTAGACGCAATTTGTCCAAAGATGTATCCCTCTGAAACAACATACCGGCCAAGCCATATGCGCATGCATCCGTGTGTAGTTCTGTTGTTTCGGCCTCGGGGTTAAACATCTTTAAAACAGGCTCTTGCGACAACACTTTCTTTAATTGAACAAAAGCATCCTCCTGTTTCGATTCCCATGTATATGATACTTCCTTCTTCGTCAGTCGAGTCAGTGGTTCGGCAAGGACAGCGTACCCTTTCACAAACCTCCTGAAGAAACTGGTCAGTCCTAGAAACCTCCGCAGTTCGTGTATATTCTTGGGTCTTGGAAATTCGGATATCGACCTAGTTTTCTTCCGACCAAGTTTAATTTCGCCCTTGGTGATTACGAAACCCAAAAATTCGATTTCTTTGGTTCCGAACATACACTTACCGGGTCTCAACGTTTGTTTGGCCTTTCTCAAGCACTTCAACACTAGCTCCAATTTGGTCAGCATGTCTTCCCAGTCACTGGCCTCCAACACCCAATCATCCAAATAACTCTTGACTAATGTACCACGCAGCTCTCCCAGCACTACGTTCATCAGTCGTTGAAATTCCCCAGGTGCTCCAGCTAGGCCAAACGGTGTTCTTGTGAACTCACCCGTGTCGTCTTGTGTAATGAAGGCGGTCTTTTCTCTAGACTCCTTTGCCAGCGGTACCTGAAAATATCCATTCGCAAGGTCTAGCTGGACGAACAGCTGTCCGGTTCCGAGCAACGTAATCTGTTCATCCATGCTTGGTAGTGGAAAGTTCTGTCTCCAAGTCTGTCTGTTCAAGCGCCTTTAGTCGACCACCAGTCTTGACTTGCCACCTTTCTGTAATACCAGCAGTACGGGACTCGCATACGGTGACCGCGTCTCCGTGACTATTCCGCACGATTTCCACTCAGCGATTATCTCAGCCATGGCCTTGCGTTCTGCCAATAACACCTTATATGGTCTACAAGTCACTGGTTTGCTGTCTTTCTCTTCATCTATGCGGAGCTCAGCCATTTCGGTACACCCGAGTTCACTTAGGTTTTTCGCAAAGGTGTCTCTGTACGAATTCAGCAACACTAGCAACTCATCCCTTTCCGCCCTTGTCGCTTCAGTGCTTACGTACTTGAAATCTGCTTCCGTCAGCGGCTCCCTGTACGGTGACTCATCAACTTCTGTCACATGCACTATAGCATCGGTGCTACTTGTTATGTCCGCGTTTCCTGTCGACGTACTCAGACAGTTCTTGTCAATTCTTTTTATAATCAGGTCGTTGCTGGTCTTGTAGTACGTGACGTAAGGTAGATCTAACCAACCTCTACCCACTACGAGTTCCGTGCGCTGTGCATCGTCAGGTACTACTAATAACGTTACGGGTCCAGCCTCGACACCTTCGACCGTTATACTCTCCAATGCCCTTCCAACTGTCGTCGTGGTTGGTACTGTTACACTACCAATTCCGTACAACGGTTGCGTAGCATACTCGATCACCAATCCAACTCTTTTGGCTACACTTTGTTTAATTAGTGAATAATGCGAACCCGTGTCTACGAGTAGACTCACCACTGCACCTCGTATGACTCCATCCTTCAAATACCGATGTGGGTTGTCAACTGCGACTTCCGCCGTCGTCACGTTAGTTTCTGCCTTGCTCCGTGCCGGACAGTCTCTTTTTAAATGACCTTTACCACTGCAACCATAACACGTCAGCTTCTCTAGACGCTGAGAACAATCGCGTCCGACATGGCCTGTCTTGTGACAAAACCAGCACTCGACCTGTTCACTACTTGGTAATTCTCCGTTAGTCGTAGTAGTCTTAGTCTCCCGTCGGTGCGGTGCTACGTATAACGGTACTTGGTTCACGGTCGCCGTCACATTTTTTTCAGACTTTTTTGAACTGTAGTTGGATTTTTCATTTCTTTTGTCGACCAGATCGTCTTTTCGGCTTATACCGTTACGCAGAGCGTTCAATCGTTCCCACTCTAGTAGGTCTCCAAGCAGCTCATTTTCGTTTTCGTGTTTATTACTCAGCGCGAAAACGGCCAGCTCACGCGAATATACGCCTTGCAGCACGTGATCCTTGATCTCGTCGAAGGACAGTTTCAATTCTCGACACATCCTTATTTTTTCGTGGAAGAAATCCACTACATGTTCGTTCTTTTGTTGAACTCGTTTTTGCATCAGGTTCCACTTGTCGGTGACACGCATTCCCCTCGAGAACGTGGATTTGAATTTCTTGGAGAAATCGTCCCAGTTTTCAAACTCCCGTCCTAGGAACCAATTCCGTGCTGCTCCGACCAAGCACGAACGTATGAACTGTAACCTGTAACCGTCTGGCCAGTTGTTTATTCGCGCCAACGTATTAACGGACTCGAACCAATCATCCGCTTCACACGCCGTTTCTCGTCCACAGATTTCCTTTACCGTCTTGTTCAGGTCCGGGACGATGCGAAATTTAGCAGTAGTACAACCGGCGCGATTCGAGTTGTCACTGCCCGAGGAAGCATTTTGCCTTTGGCTCTCGGACATAGCCTTCAACTGTTCGCTTAATTGTTGTACCATTGTGTACAGTTCGACGTAGGTAGGTGCTACCGGTGCATTCGTAACGGGATTTTGGTCACTATTCATTTTGTATCAGTAATCACTAATCAGTGTATCAACACGTTATCTGATATCACCTATCAACGCGACAATCACGACTCTACTGACCAACTACTAGCAGGGGTACGACACTCTCACAATTCCTAATACTATTTGAAAAAAGTGGGGACACGGCCTTGAACTCATGGGCACTGCCATTTTGTTATTTATGAGAATCAGCTGACGGCTCATATCATATATTTCAATAATTGATAGTTGATACTTGATACCATTATGATAACACAGAAATGATAATAAATTATATTATAATTTATAATTTATGTCGAACGTGAAATGCGAAAAATTATAAGTTAATAGTTGTTGTTAGGTAGCCGTAAGCCATATAGGCATAGAACGGTTAGATTATAACTTAAAGTATTAAAACGCAAACAAACAACAAACCGTTTATTGTAAAAAAAAAATCGTTCATAACAACACTCCTAAACCACCAGGTAATCATTTACAACTTCAACACTAAACCACCAGAGATCGACCACCAAGCAGAGTGTCGCTTCTGTATTGTTCTGTGCTACTAGCTACCGAGTACCACGGCACAGTTCACCGGTAACGACACATAACCTCACTTCGCGATTGTTCCACGACAATAGTGCTAACGCCGAAACGTCCCACGCAATCGTCAACCGCCAGAATCAATTTGTGCCCCTTTGTTCCAATGATCTCCGGCCTTCGCTGCCTACGATCCGCAACGGTAATTCCTAGGGCTTATGTCATCTGCACAATGTCGGCGGGCACTCGCGGGTACGTCACTTCCGTTCGGTTTAGCGCAACGGTAACACGCACTTTTAAATCGAACGACTACGAATCCCACTTCTGATGTTGTTAACTAAATTATAACTGACAACCGTTTATTATCAAAACTTTCATATACATTAAGAAGTTCAGACATACAACACTTATTAGTAATTTTTATGCAACTCGACACGAGGCACGACACGCACAAATCATCGGTTACGCACTCTCCGCACTCTCCTGCTCCGGACGTTGCCGCATACTAACTATCCAGTGTCCACATCCGCTGTCACTAGCCCATGAACATTGTGCAGTGCCGCCACCTTTGCCTCACATAATACTTTAGATAACACATAATACTGCGGTCTTTTCTGCATTGGCGCTATAATCATAACAATATAATAATAAGGCATCGAGATGTATATACTACACTGGAGCGCGTACTCCCTATGATATCACTACAACGAAAAACGAGCCGTCGGCGTAGCCTTGTTCCCCCACCATTGCAGGGCAAAAAAAACTCACGTAGTCACGTAGCATATTCAGATAAGCTTTAATAGTGCTCTGTGCTCGCAACGTTCGTTGTTTATTTATTTTTTCTGTAGTTACAAATGTACGATTTTTAATTTCTTTGTTGAAAATAATTAGTTTTTAAATACATTGTTCTAAATTGTGGTCCGAGAATTATATTGTAATGAAATTAGGTACTTAAAAATAATTTATAATAAGCAACTACTAGTGAATAGGTACCCAATATTCATAAGCAGTCAATTAAAACAAACCATTATTTTTCTAATATTTATATTTGATACAACAATACAACATAAATACATAATGCCAAATGACTGGCTTACATTTATTTCTAATATTACCTTAAAAAAATTAAAAAACATACAAATCTAATTTTATTTTACAAATTATTAAATAATATTAATTTAGTGAATTTTTGCCTCAGTGAAGATTTATTTTTAAATACTTCCCTAGAATTAATTTCTTTTGCATAATGACGCATTCTTATGTTGATATAACTATTACTTATAGCTGTAAACAGACTATATTCATGAGATGGAGAACCTAAATCAACATTAACAGGGTGAGAATTTGGGAAAAAAAAAAGTGAATTTTTATTTGATATATTTTTTTTTGTTAACATAATAATACTTTGTTTCACATTCTTGTGTAATATTTTTTTTATTACTACTATAGTGTGAAAAGATTTTTCCAATTCCTTGATGATCAAAGATACAGCCTCAGATACAATTTTTAATTTTCCTCGACTTACAAAAGATGTAAATTGAATACCTGCTGTATAGTTATGATCTGATTGAGAACTTAATAATATACCTACACAGAAAGAACACACAAGTTTTTTGCATATGCTTCTTACAATATATCCTGCAATGTAATCTAGTATTTCACCTGTGTACTCTCCTAACTGTACACTATTAAGAATATCTAAATAATTATTAATATCAGATTCAAATATATTTTCACTGTCTTCAGTTATAAAGCTTCTTTTTTCACAACGGAAATCTAAAACATCCCCTCCAGGAATAACAAAATGAGAGCAATTTCCGTTTTCCACAGTAATATTTTTGGTAAATAGTAATTGCCTTAAACTTTTTTTGAATTGGACACAATTTGGGTTATTGTTAGACCCTCCTCTCGCTCTTATACAACCAAAAAAAATTTCAAGGTGATCCTGTGACATTTTGTATGTCAAGATAAATTTAAGGGGACTTTGAGATCTATATAGAAGTTTATAAGCAATTTGTATAGTAGAAGACATTGTAACAATAAATCCTAATATGAACATTTTTCTCCCACCTAATACTAACGGACTTCCATCACATTTTAATGTTTTTAAATAATCGGTAGTATCATTGAATACAGACACTATAGTGTTGATATTACCAGCGTGTATTGGACTCTTATAACCTTTAGAAAATGATATTCTAGAATTTAGAATATCAAATAGGCGGTCAATTTTTCTTATAAATTCAACTGTAGCTTGGCTATTTGTAAAAGAAGGTTCACCTTTTTGACACAAATATTCGATTGCATCGGCAACCCCACTACTCAACGTTTGTGCTGCAAGCTTGACCTTCATGACTGAATTTCTGTAATTAACATGTTGTGCAGTTAGCTTATTTGCAAATTTTAATCCTAATTCATTTTGAAAAGAGTTCAAGGAGCATAAATATGACCATTTTATATCACCATTTTTTGACTGAATAATTTGTTTGTCAGCTAAAGAAGAACGAGCAAGCTTAAGCATGTGGCAAGTGTCAAACATGGAATATACTTCTATAGATTTATCTATAGTGAATTTTGTATTCAAGTTGTCTATATCAAAACTACAGCCCAACTTTTTAAAACATTGTATGTTAGCAGAAGCACCATCACACGTTACATTCCAGACCTGAATGCCTACCTCAAGCAGTTTTACAATAGCTGTAGATAATAATGTACTTAATACACTACTATTTATCTTATTCACATAAAAAAAAGCAATTGCGCATTTAAACTGTTTAGTTAAGCAAACAACCATAATAACTAAAACTTCAGTAGCAAGCTCTGTACTTTCACCAACACCAAATTCTACATTTCCAGCATATTTGCCTTTATCAGGTTCCCAAATTAGTTGTTTTCTGATCGACATAGAATCAAAAACCAACGAACAGTCTTGTAACCAAGTCTTTTGAGTTATTTCAAGTTTTAAAAATTTGAAGACTCCTTCCAAAAACCCAGGCTCACATTCCATAGTGCTCATCCAGCTTCGAATGGTTGAATGATGAGGAAGTCTAAAATGTGTGCGTACATACTTATAAGCTCTAGGAGAATAGAAGAAAAGCGTTTTAGCAAACTCTTTCATAGAATCACTATAGCGTATGGCATTTTTCCCAATTTTTTTAGTTTTGCGTTCATGCAGTAATAAAGCTAACGGTATCCCACCAAAATGTTCTTCAAGCTGTGTCGTCACATCATCTGACATTGGGACATTTTTCTTAATGCGCATAACAAGACCTGTAACAGTGTTAAACACAAATACATTTTACAAATTCAATATTGTATTAGAAACAATTATGTTAATTAAATTACTTTTTAATGATTTTATTTTTGTTTCTCTTCGCTTAAGGCGTTGTTGTAATACTTTTACTTTTTTTCTCAAAATTGCCTTTGTTGGAGATTGTATGGAACACTGAACACTTTTACTATTATTTTCAAAACTTTCTGAACTCTGTAATTAATAATTATGATTGCTAAACATATTTAAATATTTCATAACAAATTTAAATTACCTTAGTTAGATCCATATATGGTACCATATTTGCACTGGAACATTCTATATCGACCGTATCGACAGATATATCACAATTATTGTCAACCTAAATTAATAAATAATAAAATTACCGAATCAGTCTTATATTTTCAACTTTTTTGTTTGTTTGAAGCAGTAGAGTTTATAAAAGTTGCATATCTAGACATTTGTATATGTCACTGGGTAAAAGTGTATGTCTTAAAATTAGATAATGTACAGAGAAACAAACTTTGTAGGTAGGTAAACCTATATACACAATTTGTATATAACAACATTTAATTTTGTTAAAAATATAGTGGCAACATTTGTCACTATGTAGTCTGCAGGACCTAAGTATATTGCATACTATTAATTAAAAATAGGTAACAACAATTTCTGAAATTAGTAAATGAGTAAGATTATATGATGTAAAATTATTAAACTTACCAATGGGTTTCTTTGTAACAACCGGCGAACAACTTTTTTCTTCTGTAAATGTTGAGGAAACTCTTTAAATACAGATGGAACAGCCTCATCTTTTAACCATTTCACATTTGCTCCTGGACGGATTTGGTAGTCTTCATTTGTAAAGTGTTCGCTGCATAAATAGCTATACTCAGAAGGTTTGAAGTTTTTGCGTTTCATTTCATGTATCCACTTTGCCAAAACGGATGGCCTCTTTAGAGGAAAGCTAAGCCAGGTAAACAAAATATACTCATCAGACAGTAACGTTTATCTTGTATAATATTAAGGATATTTGCCTATTTATATTAGAATAATCGGAACAAAAATGACTAAAGGTACCTATGTTTTTACATACCGGTGAAATTGTATACCACATCCTTTTTTCCGCCGGTTTGTACACCCATATGAGGAACACGAAATTACCATGATTAAATAAGTTTGATTGAATTTACAATAAAGCAGGAATTTAACCAGTAAACAGAATGAAATAATCGAAATTGCGCAACGACGTAACGCACTGGCTTGTGCCATCCAGTCCTTTTGCCATGCAATGGTGGGGGAAGCGAATCAACGAGCCGGCTCGTTTTTTGACGACTCGTGCGCGCTCCAGTGTAGTATATACATCTCGATGTAATAAGGTATGCTTGTGAATGATAATATGGGTACAGGTATGTTCGTTGTATTTATAATAATAAGGCAAAAAATGCTGTGATGTTACAATACACAACATTTTTATTATATTATGTCTACACACAATGGTGTTAGGATACACTGTATATTAACAGTGAACAAGTTTATAATGCAATGTGTTGTAAAGAATATTTAAAAAATAGTTGTTATATAGTGTCTATAATTAATTTAATTTTTTGATATTGGACTTTGGATATGCTTTGATAACACAATGAAGTGAAACTGTGAAAGTTCAAAAGAAGTTCCAAAAGTATTTGTTTAAACTGCCGCCTTTTCCGATCTGGACTTCACCACCGGTTAGCGCGATACCGCACGATAGCACGGCGAGGCTCGACCTTTAGACTCCGGCTCCCATCATGCCCACAATCTGGACGGCTCGGACGTAGTCTCCGTGCGGGCGGTACTGGTTTGCGCACAAATACCAAAAAGACAACTTTTTTGGGCACAAAACTACCACTCGTTTGGGAACAGTTGAGCCGTAAACATGCACATGGTTTGCGCACATGTATATTCCTAGGTTTTGGTGCCTCTCGGCTACAACCACGGACCTTTTATTAGCGCTGTGCGCTAGTCAAGAACCGCGGAGGTTCACGGTCGGCAAGCCGGCCGCGCGTCGTCTATGGACCACGAGCACCGGGCGCACACCCGTTCCCACCGAAGTCGGGAGAGAGTGCGCCCGTACCATTGGCTGAGGCGTACACGTGCCCTTCGCCACCCTGGTCGGGTCGCAAGCTATCCTCATTGCTTCCCGTTTTTGGTCACGGGCAACCTCCGGTACATATAGCCTCTCCGGTAGGCTGGGTGGGCGCTAAGGAGATGTCTCACTCGGCAGCTTTCCCCTAGACCTAGCTTGGTCTTTTAACCACATGATTAGCTCCTGCTAACAGCCACTTCGAAACCAAACCGCCGTCGGCCACGCATCTAACGGTGCGGGACCGTCGTATGGGGGCACGGCGTCAATTGCTCAACGCCGCGGGGCTCCCCCACATCCCGAAGTACCATTATCGCTCCCGTTAGGAAAGCACATCAATGGTGAGATGGTCGGACCGAGCTTCGTCAGCCGAAGCCTCGGCTGTGATCCTTCCAAGATTCGGGTCCGTGTACCACAGGCTCTCGGTGGGCCCTTACCAGCGGCGTTCGCTGCCGGCGCGGTGGCCGCGACCCCCGAGTTAGGCTCGGTAGCCTTTGCTACGCCTCCCCGAGGCATCACCGAAGTGATCGACACGCTCTTCTTGAGGTCGCTGTCAAAACCTCCGACACCCTAGTCCCCGAAGGTTTCGGTGTGTCCGCGTCCCAGACGCCGGCCCCTACTGGCCATCCCTTTAGTCGCCTCTTACGACAAGCGGGCAAGACTGCGGACCTATTCTTATACCGCCCAGACCGCAGGGCGATCTTCGGATCATCGATCTGTTCTTTGCTTGAGGCTCTCCCGAGCAAATGTTCGGAAGGCCTCGTATGTCGTCTTATTTGTGAGTATGGCCCCGTCATATGGTGGCCAAGGACATTGTTCTTGTTGAAGTTTTCTTTTCAGATTTTATCTTTGGATTTTTGTTCTTGGGCAGGCTAGGAGAACATGTTTGACTGTTTCACTGCCATTTCCACAGGCACATCCTGGAGCCGGTGCTTTGTTGAACGAATGGAGCTTTCCTCGAAAGTCTCCGTGTCCAGTGAGCATTTGGCTCGTGTAATGATCCATAGTAAGGGGCAATCCATACCGGATTCTTACGTCCGGGATGAGTTGGAATGTCCACTCCCCTTTATCCACTGTATTCCATCTTTCTTGCCAGACCTCTAACAGATCATGCAAGTACCGTTCATATTCTTGATATGTGATATCATTTGTCTTTAAGGATCTTCTAAGAATAAAGCGTTTCACTTCTAAGTCCAGAGGTAGTTGCCCTGATATGACTTGAAGTGCAGCTGTTGACGTTGTCCTGTATGCGCCCGTTATGGCTCGTAAGGCGTCTCTTTGAATGCTTCCTAGGGTCTTTATTGAGCATTTGAGCTCTAGTGCTTTTTGCCATATGGAGGCGGCGTATGTTATTCTGGGCAAGAACACCGATTTGTAAATTATCAGTGACGTGCTTTGTTCTACTCCCCAGTTAGCTGATGTCATGGAGCGTAGGCGTAAGAACATTTCTTTTGACTTATCTGAGATGTCTTCGACGTGATCTCTAAATGATCTTCTCGGATCTATGATGACTCCAAGGTATTTTACTGTCTTTGTCGCTTTAATCTGTATATCATCTGCGTTTGAGCCAAATGGCACCGTGTAGGTGGGTTTGACCCCGCCTTTCAGTGTCATAATTTGGCTCTTTGCCATTGAGAATTTTAAGCCGAATTTATTTGACCAGTTTGTGAGTTGGTCAAAGTATTGACTAAGTCTTTTCTTGACTGTGTCTAATCTTGCAGCCCCGACTGCAAGTGCTATATCGTCTGCATACGCAATCATGTGTGATTGGTGTCCTATAGGCTCGAATGCATCCGACATCGCTACCTTCCAGAGTGTCGGTCCTAGTCTCGACCCCTGTGGGCAGCCGCGTGTCATTTGCCTCGTTCTGGTCTCTTTGTCAGACATGAGTGTCGCTGATCTGTTCGTGAGATAGCTCTCAAGTAGTGCAAGCGTTCTTTTACTGATCCTGAGGATTTTTAATCGTTCGAATATTGGTGACCATCTGACGTAGTCAAATGCGCCAGTAATATCCAGGAAGGCACCAACTATTATCCTGTTAGGACACTGATCTGTCCAGTCATATAATGCTTTTACGGCTGTCTCGGTTGATCTTCCGGTGACGTACCCGTGTTGTTGGCCTATTTCGTTTAGTCCGGTTTCTTTTTCTAGTCTTGATGTTATTAGAGACTCCAATGCCTTACCGAGAGTTGGTAGCAGACTAATTGGTCTGTACGACCCCGTAAGAAGTGGGTTCTTTCCTTTTCCTTTTGGAATGATCACCAACTTGGCGATCTTCCAACAGTTGGGAAATCTTGCAATTTTTAGACATTTCTCATATAGATCCGTTATGGAGTCTGAGATGACTGGCCATGCAATTCTAAGCATCTTGGCGGTTATGCCATCCAGACCTGGTGCTCTACTTGGTTTCATTTTCCAAATGGCTTCTTTTACCTCTTGTGCAGTTGTACTGTCAGGAGGTGTGTCATCTGCCTGGTGGTCATAAGGCATAAAACTTGGCATATTCCGATCCTCGGGCAAATAGGCCTCGAGAAACGTATCTAAGGTGTCTTTAATGTCGGTGGTATAAGTCCCGGCACTGGTTTTAACCGTGGTGGGCATCGGATTCTTCCGTGAGCCACTCTTAGCCCATCTGAAGGCTTTGCCCCAACAGTTAGTATTCATGTCTGCGCTAAACTCACGCCAAGAACTCATCTTGGCGAGTCTGATTTTATGCAGGTGTTGGTTTCTTTGGTGCTGATATGCCTGCCTGTTTGTATCAGGGAGGCCCTCTCGCCTGATTCTCTGAAGTGACTTTTTTGACTTAGTGAGTTCATCCGTCCACCACGATGGTGTTGTTATACCAGTTTTAGCCCCTCCACGCGTTGGCATGGATAGCTTTGCTGCTTGGACAATAGCCTCTGTTAGGCTGCATGCGATTTCGTCAACAGAATCGCCGTGGATATTCGTCTTTAGACCCAGGAGCGTGAGTCTAAATTTGTCCCAGTCCGCTTTGTCTGTATTAAACCTTGTACCTGGGTTTTCAATTTTCCTTTTAGGACTTTTGAGGTTTAAAGTGAATTCCAGTGTCCTGTGGTCACTGTCTGTCCGGTCGGTCACGGTCCAGCCTCTTACTGATCTGTTGATCGAGGTACTGGCCAGTGTAATGTCAATGTTGGACTCACCCATTCCGTGCCTTTTATAAGTCTTTAGATCTTGAGGGGTATTTATTATGCGGAGATCCTGATCATCGACCAGTTCCTCAACCATCTTTCCCCTTGTATTGGTGGAGTCATTGTGCCATCTTATGGAATGGCCGTTGCAATCAGCACCAATCAATAGGCGTCTATTTGCCAAACTGATATTGGTCAGTAGTTCAGTGAACATTGTTGTGGGCTTGTTATACCTAAAGTAAGCTGATACTATCACAACGTCGTCTTTACTGAGGCCGATGCCAATTCTGGCAACCGCAATATAACGAGTTGTAAATTGTCCCAATTTTATTGCTTTGATTTTATTATTTGTTATAATTATGGCAGCTTCGGGATTGTCATCGGACAGAATCTGTCGACAGCCCTCGAAGCAAGTCACGTAGCCATTAATTATAAGTGGGTCTTGGACGAGTATGATGTCAACCTTATCCTTCAAACATATGTCCCTCAGTTGTTCGGAGGCGATCATTTGTTTGTTTAAGTTGACCTGAATTATCTTCAGGCCGTTCATTATTGTTCTTTATCTGTAGTTCCTGTCGTAAGCGGTTGGCTGAAGTCAGTCCGCTTTGCAAGGCGCTTCAGAGCAGCTGTCTTTGTAGGACAGCTGTCGCTAGATGCTTTATGTTTGCCCTTGCAATTGCAACATTTAAATTCTTTGATCTGACATGTTCGGCTGTCATGGCTGCCAGCACAGTTTCTACATGTCATTTCTTCTTCACGACAATTCTTTGACGTATGACCGTATTTCTGGCACTTGAAGCACTGTGACACTGAATGATTCAGACTCAGTGTGCTTCGTATGCCGCCGATATACGCTTTCTTTCCTTCAATTCTTCGAAGAATTTCAGGACTTACCTCAAGGACAAAGTTGGTAACCGTCCCTGATCTTGGCCCAGAGTGGTAGGCCACTCTGATGTCCTGTGCATCGGTCTCGGTTAGACCCAATTCCGGATTGCAATCTAGCAGTTCCTGAATTACTTCCTCGTCCTTAAGGCTGCTGTCTAGGCCTTTAAGAGTCAACCGTGGCTTTCTCGGAATAATTTCCAAGACCAAGGTATTTTCTCTCAGGGCATCTAAGGTGTCCTTATTGTCCGGTACTAGTATGGTTGGACCTTTTGTACGGTTTTTATGAACCGCCAGTCTTGGGTTTTTAATTTTATTCCTTAGTTCTGCCCAGAAACTTTTCCATAGTTTAGGATATTCTTCGCTTGTCGCGGAATCCTTTAGGACAAACCTTGGCAAGGCTGGTGGTTTTCTGATTGTATTCAGGTCTATATTAGTCTTCATTTTACCTTTTCGCTTTTTGGTCCTTTCAACTACTTGGAAGGTGCCTTCCGTTGTAGATTGTTGGACTTGTGGCGCTGGGTTTTCTGTGACTGTCGCCGGTGTCATTGGGCGTTTTGACCTTTGTTTTGTTTTAGAGTTCTTTTTTCCAACTCTTCCATCGTGAACACTAACCCTGGCGGGTACAGCGACCGACTTGTTACGTTGGACTGCGTTTGAATAAGATTTGTCCTTGTCTACTCGCGGTTGTGGATGTTTCATCATCATCATCATCATCGTTAATTGTGATGATTGTTTGCGGTCTGCTAGGCTTAATTGGCCTTTCTCTTTTGTTTTTTACTGTTTCTTTATAAGCCCCTTCAAGCTTTGCGTGTTGGTACGTAATGTCTCTTACGATCGAGCAGATACGGTTGTAAGATCCCGTAAGTTCTTTACGCATAGTAACTGTTATTCGCTTATTCAAGCTGTCGCTTTCAATAATTGTTTTTAGGTTGTCCAATTCCGCGTGGACTAGGTGATTTAGTTCACCAACAGTCTCCTCAGATTCTTCATCTGTTTTTGTCTTTTTGATTTCAATCTCAGTCCTATCAGTGGGACTCAACTCGGGTTCGTGTCTCTTCTGCGAAGTAGACGGACCCTCCAGAGTTTCAAGACTACCCGTATCCGAACGAGTGTGTTCGGTCACCGAGACAACCGAACTATGACTGTCTAGTCGTCTGTAAGTCAGCTGTGGTGGGCCTTGGCTAGTCGGGCTACGCAGGATCCTCATCTGTTCGTCTTCAGATAGTTCCTCGTGCATGTATTCATAAAGGATCAATTGAGCCGTCTCAAGAGAGGCTTTTAATTCTTTTGCAAGGTCGTATACCTGAAACCTGTTTTTATTAGATAGGCCCTCGACCGCTAATAAGTCGAGGTCTTTTAATACTTTGTCTATTTTGTCTTTGACAAGTTCTAGGTGCGTGTCTGATTTGACCTTACATTTATCAAGAAATAGTATTTTGTTTGTTAGACTGTCTACTATTTGTATCATTTTTCCACGATTATGATCGTTAACTTTGTTATGTTTTCCTGTTGTTGCGTTCTTTGGCCAATAACTGTCATCCTGAAAGAACTCCTTAACAAAGTTCAATTTCTTTTGTATGCTTAAAATGTCCGATTCCGATATATCAAATTTATCCATTTCCGTGTTCCAGCTTACATTAACCGAGCATGGTTTGCGCACAGTTACCTTTTGGCCTGACCTTTTAATACCCTCTTAATAAGTAATAAATCGTATCGTACATAAACTCATACTCCAAGTTCATACTCCACACGTTTAATCTTAATCGACAAATGTGTAATCTGATTACGATAGATTGTCACATAGACAGTGGTGTGTGTGCAGTTTTGTGTTGTAACATATTGTTATAGTACCTATTTCGTAAGCATTCGTTAAAATGGATTTTACAAAAACTGTTACGAATAAAGGTGTTGTGTGTATTTTGTTTATAGAGCCAAAATAAAGAAACTATTCTATATTCTAATATTCTATATAAAAATATTCTTTTAAGACAGCAATTTTCAAATAACTATTTATATAAAATAATATTAGTATAATATAGTATACATATATAATATCATTTTTATAAGATATATCAATTTAGAAAAACTACTTATATAAAATATTTATTTTGGCGCAAATGATATGTCATTTTTAACAGTTAACAGTTAAGTAAATGAAAAGCCAAAAGTAACTAATTAAGTTAAAAAATTAATATAAAATTAACTTATTAACTTCACTTTAACTTTTTATCTCGTTAATGCCCAGTCTTGCATTTTTGCACCTTTGGCGCTTATGTCATATAGCCTTATTTTCGTGTGCGCAAACCAGTTGTACACTTAGAATAACCGTGTGCGCAAATGAGTTCCGATTTTTCAGGTAAAAATTATAAAATGTGCGCTAACAAGTTGCCATGCCGCCTACTAGTCTACGTTCTGACGGTGCCAATGTACAACGGCCCGTCGCCTAGCGTGTCAATATTCGTGCGTGCCGGTACATTTTCCTGGTTACTCCACGTGTTGCATCCACAAGTAGGTATTCTCGGTTTACGTGATATACCAATAATTGTGCGTTGGTAGTGTCGTGGTGTTTTCGGTCGCCATTTAGAGGGTTGAGTTCGGTTGTACGCTTGTACATCTGTTGATTCACTTTGACAAACCGCGTGCTCGACTTAATCACCTCTCACGGATTTAAACCTTTATGCTGAAAATCCGTCGTCAGTTGTGACTCGTGCCACGTAAGAACGTGTTTGAGTGCATATACCGGGTCGTCTCGATAATACGACGAGCTAAATCTGTTTTGTTCCATTAATTTGAAAACGTGGCCGCCGCCGTCGCCGCCGTGGGGTCATTGTCCTGCCGCCGCCGCCGCCGTCAACAGCAACTACTGTCACCGTGCTATCAGCTGCCGCCGCCGACGTTATCATCATCGTGGTCTAATCAACGACTATCATCGCCATCGCCGCCGTGGTATCGTAATCATTTTGTTGTATGTTGTAATTGTCCATAAGACATATTATATTTTTTTGTATGATTATAATTATTATTTGCTGACCGACAAAGAGACGTCTTTACCGGTCGCGACTCTGTGCAATAAGGACCTATGTACGTTATCCTTAGTCAGATATATATATTATACATTATTATTATTCAACCAAATTTTGTGTTAACGTTTACTATCATAAGATCATTGTCACCTCACTCCCATACTGACGCGAGTCGTCGTAGCTAACCGCCATATCTCGTAGGAGTTACGTCGGCGCCAACAGTATTCTTCGTTCAATACGGTAAATGCATTATTATATTGTTATAATGTTATCTATACCCTGTAAGAGAATAATCACTTTTCGCGCATCACGAATGATTCGATTGGTGCGTCGAGAACCACGTGATCACGTTATCACGGGGAAGTTGGTGGTGGATACGCGGCACAAACGAAAAACGGTCGGCCGACTGATTATTCTCTTTTTTTTTGACAGGGCATAGTATTGTATTCTGTTCTTGGACCTACAACATTTTTTAAGCGATTTGCAGTGAAATCTGTAATACTGTAATGCATCGGTTAGACTACATACTAAAATTATAACTTTTAACGAATGTAGATAGGTACATTTTAGCAATACACGAATGCCGTTTTAAAGTTTTGATATGATAATTTATACAATGCGGGAAATCGACAGCTGATGTGTATATATTGACGTATATAGGTACCAGAATAATTTCAGAATAATTTATAAAATCATTTCGGTCGTTTAGAACATATTATATACTAGGTACGTTTATTGAAAATGTTTCATGGCGTTTGACCTCAGCCGTGTTGAAATAATTGTGGACCTCATTTAAAAGCCCTATCTGCAGCGGATATAGGTTTAACTTACTGTCGTATACATGTATATATATTATATATAAAACGTACTCTCACACACACTACATAATATTATAATAACTAGTGCAGTACAAATGTACAATGTCAAAACGTGTTATCGGTTGGGCGGGGTAACGCGATTCAAAATGATCTCTGATTGTCGCAGCACACTAGGTGTGATGTCGACGAAAACAGTGGTCGATTATTATATCAATAAATTATCAGCAATTAAAATTTTTTTTATTTGTTTCTACGAGTAATCAGCGAGACTGCAGATAACGTAGAACTCATCACCGAAGAACTCCGATAATAATCGAAACTACCGCCACCACCACTCAATAATATTAAATACGTTAATATTATGTTCATTAGTAGACTAACAGCTCGCACGCCGGTCATCTGCACTCCGTCGCTGTTGATAGCACTAAGGAAACGTTTAGAATTTTTCGAAAGTATGAGCCACTTGTCGCACGTGTCCACGGACTTGGCGGGCCCATCGGTCGGGATCTACAGGTGATTAAATTAATTGTATAATAATTAATATTATGACGTATGTATTCATATTTCATATATACATGTACACTATATTATATTATTATGGTATGATTTAGATGCTTGTTATACGTATTGCATAACGAGTTTTATACATACTAATTGTTGGTAAAATCCCAGAAGCACGATGCATAGTTTCTTTGGAATAATTGTTTAACTTCCACCACTCGGAGTGAAGTCTGGCGACTGGCCGTTTATATTTAGTACGTGTCATTTTCATAGTGACATATTTTATCGAGTGGTTAAATTTATTGTACGTCAACTTCGGAAAACGAGGCCTCCCGCATAAATACCGTTGTCATGTAGCTTGTGTTTGTGATGCACTTGTGGCTCATATATACTCGTTCCTAAATAGTGTAAGGAAAGAGACGTAAAGTTGGATATTATATTATTGTAAAGTTCGTTTTATGAAATGTATTATCCCGATAGGGGATGGACTACAAGTCTTGTTGTAAGATGTCAGCTAAATTTGTTTGATCCGCACATAATTCTTGGGACATGTTACTCTAAGTTATTCTACTTGTAACGGTCACTGAAAGTTATTGCTGCGGTTTTGTCAGTTTGAAAAAGAAATTCCAAACCAAATAACTTCGAATAAATATAAAAAAAATAAATTCTGTTTGAAGTGAAATGTAATTCTGCTTCCGAATCCATTAAAAAATGTATTTTAGAAGTGAGTGAAAATATTTCTTTGATATAATATAATATTATATTATAATAATTGTATAGGTTCACTTAAATAAAATTTCTGCGTGGTGTATAAATCAACAAATTTATTTTCAATTATTTTTTACTAAATACAGTTAACGATTTTTAATTGTAATTTTAAAATTAATTTTCTAATATTGTCTATACTCTATACCAACTGTAATTAGAGATCTTAATATATATATAATAGGTACATTAAAATATATATAGCAGCTACACATTAAGTAAAAATCAATAACAACGTGAAATAATATTGTTTCATGTTTTTGCAGACATTACACAACAATTATAACTTCTATAGTAAATCATGGTTATCAGATAATACAATTTTAGTTATTTAATTATAACTTGGTAACAAATATTGTTAAAATAAAAACGTACTATGTTTTTGAAATAATTTTGGCGTATTTTTATCTTCTCGATAAACATTTTAGTCGTCTATATTCTATACATAACACTTATTTGTGATTTAAAAATGTGTTGCCTTGGGCAAACCTTTATATAATACTAATAACAACACTAACAATAATTGGTTTAATACTTTAATCTTTTAATCAATATAAAAATAATACATTTCAGATGCGTGTATACACTTTTAATTTTTATAGTATACCTACTTAAAAATAAGAATTTCTGTAGCGTTTTTTGTATCAATTGGAGTTGGTTATTATAATATTCATTCTTGCATTAAACAGATTTAATTATGCTTATTTTAATGAAAACCGTTAATTTTTTTTTACGTAGGTACCTACTTATTTACTTTGAGTAAGTATGATGTAGGTAATGAAAGAAAACTCAAAATCCTCGAAAAAAATAAGTTTATCGAAATTAAAATTGATTGATGTACTAATCTTAAAGGATAATATACCGAGATGGTCAAAGTTTTAAATTTTTTTTTATTTTTGTATTAAAATATTATGTTACAGATCGGTAACGTTTAACACGTTACTCATTATTATAATTAAAACGCTGTTTGTTCGCCGACCTCCCAATTATATTTTATCATAAATTATAATCTAAATAAATTAGGTATGGAAATTATTTGTATTTACGAATAAACATTTTTTTATCAATGAATAATTATTTTTAACTTTAGGTCAAACTGTCAACTCTATATTATGTTTCTTGTACCTACTTATCAGTCGAACAATGTCGAATAAACTATTAAATATTTAAGTATTTATTTAAGTAAGAAGATTAATACGTGGTAAAACTAAAAAAAAAATTGTTTATAATGAAACCTTAATATGTATTTTATATATTATTATGGACCTACCATATTATGGAACAACAATTATGCTTTAAATAAAAAAAAAATGAATTTACATTAATTATTTTATTATAAAACGATATCAAACAGAAAACAATAAAATACATGTATTTATCTAAATATTATGTTATTATATTAAATACAATTTAAAAAATTAACTTAAAATAAAACATAATAAGAGTTTGAAAAGTTACGGCTATGTTGATGAAAAATTTTATGTGTATACCTAATAGGATTTTTTTTTTACGAATAAAAATATTATATTTTAACTATAGATTTTGAATATCTTTGTATTTGATCGATTCGCTTCGAAAAGTTCACTTTTTACTTAGCCAAGCAATACTCGTGTTTTATTCACGAATATGTACGGATGTTTCATGATGAAGGTTATCTAGATTTGAGACACATGAGTTAATTTTGTTTACGAATAATTAAATAAAATTATTTTTAACTCATTCTCAATTGTTTGTTTTTTTACAATATAATTGTGGAATAAGCAGAGCGTTCTTGAATATATTATATATTATTATCTTTATTCGTGAAGTATTAAATACGTCATTTTATCATAATCTTATTGGTTTAGTTATAGTTTCAGTTAATGTAAATATCTCTATACAAATCCATAATCTGTGTAGAGATTGGTATACCATAGAATGTAAACTTCTATGTTATCAGCCTATACAGGATAATACTGTTCGAATTCGGTTAAAAACGATTTTAATTTTGTTTGTAGCCAAGCAGTTAAGTACGGTGATACAGTTTACTTGTCAGGTACCTTGGGCTTGGACCCTTGTACCGGTAAGCTGGTTGAAGGCGGTGCAGGACCTGAAATAAAAAAAGCATTGGAAAATATTAAGCATGTCCTGGAAGCATCTCAATCGTCTTTCAGTTCAAGTAAGTATATCAAGATATGCAACTATTTTATCGAAACTTAACGAATTGAGAAAATTAACATTATATTTCAACAGTTTGATCGGGTAGTAATTTAGTTTTAAATGCTGTTTATTCAACGACCATTGCATATTACAGTCCACACAAGACGTATTGGTTTTTATTTATATTTTTATATAAGTTAATATAAACGCGCGATGCGAGTATACTCCATATAAATGCCTTTATTCACAAAGCCTTCCATTAGTCATTAAGTCTTTAGTGTTTTTAAATTTGTACATGATTGAAACAAATTAATAGACGTATACAGTTTTTTCTGTAAATATTATGAAGCCTAAAATATAAGTCTATTTCTTCTATATTATATTCATAATATAAACAACTTGATTCCAAACCGATGATGAATACCTAATTTGTATACATTTCTTGAGTTAAAGTCGACCTTTCTATACCACAAAATTCTCATCTACAACAACACTTTAATATTATGGCATCATAGCAGAACTGAAATTGGTCGGTTTATTTTGTTTTTATTCCTTGTAATAATAAAGTTAATCTTCATGTTTTAATATAGGAGTTTTATAATTTATCATACCTAGTTGATTTTTTGTAACACTGTATCATATTTCAGCGATCGTCGTAGTACATTATTTTATGTAATTAAAAGTCTAGTAGCGTTTTTATAATACCTTTAGACTTTAGTGTACCCATATAGTTGCATGGTATTGTTTTTAATTTAATCATGATTTATATTTAATACCTATACCTATAGGTATTAGTTATGCGGTATCTGCGGCGGATATCATGTTTAATACTTTAATCACTGAATTTGATGATATTAATTAAACAAAATATTAAATACATTTACCTCTCATATACCCTCGACTTCCTTAACAATGTAAAAATAACGGCTGTTACCACAATATATTTTATTGTATATAATTTATAAAAGTGACATCACATAACTCTGAATAAATATAATAATTTGAGTAAAAATGTTAATAATTCCTGATCCACTACCGATTCCTTTACTCAAAAGTTATTAATTGTGCCTTTTGAATGGTCGTATAATATTGTAAAACCACGTATTTGTTCATAGTTCAGTATGCAGCAATAAACCTTAATAAGGATTCGGTGAAAACGATATGGTATATTAAAATGGTCAAACTATGCGTAGACAATTTTGACTACACACAATGTACGTTTGATGTGTCATATTTTATATTATACGTTCTGGTTAAAGGACTTCTAATGAAATATTTGACGAAAGTTTACTCCATTATTTGTTAACTTGGAACTAGGTACGCGAATTTCCATAGAGGAAATGTTTGAATAACCTAAACATCGGCGTGGGACATGGGATTCATTCAAATGTTACTGATTCGAAAAAAAAAAATGCAGAAAATTCAGTCGCTAGCCAAAATCATATTATACGATATTATAATTTCCCTACATTTTACATACTATATTTATTCCTGTTGCAATATTCTTTGATATTTGATCCGTTAAGCGAATCAGGTACCTATGACTACAACACTGTCTAGAAGTTATTACTTATAGGTATCTATATGTATCATGACATTGTCAAGTCTTGGGTTCTGTATTTTACACTCTGTCATGATTGACTGGTATACTATTTTTTTGATCTCCATCATTATAATTTATAATAGGTACACGTTAATTGTTTTTACTTTTTTTTAATATTTATAATATCGGGTGGTGAAAAAGTGTTCTGTGCTGTATTAAAGTTACACCTATGCGTCGAAGCTACAATAATATGTATATATATTATATGTGTCGTTGGCATGTAGTCAAACCAGGTTATTAATAAAATATGCATTATAACAATCAAGGATTTACCGTAGGTAATGTTAATGAAGTTGCTTAAACATGTAACAATTAATAAATATTAATTATTCTACATTTTATTCACCGATAATATAATAGTCTTTTTAAATCCCGACCAAAATGTGATTATATTGATTATAATAGATATAATTGAATCTTATCTATTTAAATACTTCAGTGTAATCGTATTATATTATGATGTACAATTGTTCATTCGTGTATGATTTTTCATTATTCCACCAATAAAATTGTACTAAAAATAAAACATTAATCTTGGATAAAATACCTAACTTGAATATACCTACACATTATATATATATATATCTCACACAGTCCTTGTGACAAATTTTACTATGTAAGTATGTGTTACTGGCTTTTGGCAAATTTCCACAAATGTTATGGTATTTTTGACTAGCCTATCTACTTCCCAAATTATGATTTTCATTAGGAAGTAATTATCAGATGATATCTTCATTCACAATATAAGTTTGAAAAGCTTATAAATACATTTAGATATTTTATTTTTGTTTATACTAGTTTTTTGAACGAATTATTATTATTTCGTTGTATGACTGTGCAAACTGCAAACCATACTATACGATATGATAATATGTAGAATAATCAAACTATATAATACATACATAGTACATATATGTGATGAATATTCAAAAGACAACCGAGTATAAAAATATTAATAATGAACGCCATACTTCATTTCATAATACATATTGTTTAATTTAAAAAAAAAAAAAAACATATTCAATTAATTTTTTTTTTATTTATAAATTATTCAATACACTTAGGTATACAATAACACAATAATAATAATAAGTTACATTTAAAAAAAAAATAATTTGTTTAAATATAAAGGGTGAATATTTTATTTATCTCGGATACAGTCATGCATCCTTGTGATTACGTAATAAAACGAAAGAGACCCCTTTATTTCGGCGGTAACATGTTTGGATAATTCTTATAAGTGTATATATTTTTATTATTTCCAGTCGTTAAGACCACGGTTCTGTTAGCTGACATAAAAGACGGCCCGACGGTGAACGAGATTTACAAGCAATGTAATTATGCGGGCTCATTTGAATTTCAAAATAGATAGCACTAAGTACTGATTAAAAACAATAATTTGTCTCTTTATTTTCTATTTAACAGTTTTTGTGCCGCCATATCCGGCTAGAGCAATGTTTCAAGTGGCCAAATTGCCTTTAGTAAGTATTAAACAAAACTGACTTCAAGACACCATTGATGTGATAAATTATAGTTCGTGTTTTTTTTCTGTCACTATTTATGTGAAAACACTTGTGGCTTCTTTCTTTTCGGAGGTCAATAAAATAACCAAATTATATTCGTGTCACTCGGGCTGTTAAATTATGTGATGATAAATCTTTTTGTATGTTTATTTTTATAGGACGCCAAAGTCGAAATAGAAGTGATCGCCGCGGTTAACAAGTAACCGCAATAAGAAGATATATTTTAATTTTGTTTGTTAAAATGTTTTATGAACTTGCTACGAGCAACGGAAATAATCTAAATATGTTATTTACAATATAAAACGTGCTCTATACACACAAAAGCGAGGATTTAATGCATATATTCAGGGGATAGAAGTGTCTGTCTGGTACAATTGGAAATGTGACAAATCCATAGTTTTTATTTTACTTTTTTAAATATCTTACGGAGGACTTTAAATAAAAAATTGCAGTAGAATAATATTATGACTGAGTTATTTATTTTGAAATACTCCTCATTCAAAAAAATGTATGAACTCTATTAGAGCCACTACACGAGTGTACTATAATTATTGTGTTTCTTATTTTTAATACCTAATCTGAAGTATTTCTCTTGTTGTCCTCCGCATGGAATTAATTAGGAATCCAAGTGTGATTATACACATCGTCGATCCGGCGGGAAATGCAAATTTCCTTAGCATATAATAACCTAACAGAGAAAATAAATTAAAGTGTGGAGACGCGGTCGTATATGGAAATGGGGTTTACTATGGCCTCCACTAACAAACAAGCACCAATCTCTGGTTTTAATATCTTTCGTGAGCATTTCTGGTTATGACATTCTGGGCAGGTAATGTTAAGTAGGAACACTAAATTTAATTCGGCGTCATCAGCATCGTGGTTGTCCTGTCGTTATTGGTCAACACGCCAACAGTAATTCCGTTTTCCAGCATTGCCGTGCTGCTTTCTTTGATTGCGTCTTGTTTGCTGAAGATCATTTTGCGTGGAAACCGCAGTGATTTGTCCACGGCCGACGACGTACCTGTGTCACCCGTCTCATTTATCGCTACGATCGTAGGTTGCCAGGACTTGTTGGCCATCAGTCGTTTCATCGAATTCACCTGAACAGTTTCACAAACAAGTTATAACTATACCTTTATGAAAACAGTCGTATAATATAGTCAAGCGGTTAGAACAATAAATTATATCTGTCACGAGAGGCAAGGTACAAGTAACAAAAATTGCTTTATAATATTATTTAAAATAATTATTTTAAAACTCATATTTTACTAAATAACTATGACTTAAAAAAAAAAAAAAAAATTGTTATATGATATTTATTAGAACATAGGTTCGTTTAATTTTTTTTGGCAGGGTTATTTTTTTAGAGTTAAAAACTATTTTTATTTTATTCCTAAGTAGTATGGTCTTTTTTTGGTACTATTTATAACAAATTAATATTGAACTTACAGTTTATACATTTGCAAATATATCCGAGATGAGATGCGTAATAAAGATAAAAAAAAAAGAGGTATACCCTGCTAAATGTATGCTCCGCTCATCAAAACTTAAATTAATTGTAAATAAAAAACTATATTTCATTAATATTAAATATTAATTAACAAATTTTGTTGTACTTTGAAAATTATTTACAATTTCCTCTTTGAAATATTAAATTAAAAATGGGTTAATTGTGAGTTACCATTCAAATAAACTAAAACATAACTAGTTTGTCTTTAAATAAATAATTTATTATATTGTTGATACATGTTTAAAATAAACCCAACGTTTAAAATGTGGGTCATTGTATTTTTCAGTTTTCTCATTGAAAATATTAGGAGAAAATGCAATCGGTTATTCTATATATATTTATTTTTATGTATATAACATGGGTAGGTATGTACAAACAGGACGGAACTATTCAAATATCGTGATTTGATGTCTACCTGAAAAGCTAATGAAAACCAGATTAATGTGAGTTAGGTTATTATTAAATAAATGTGTAATGAATGTGTTATGTAGACAATCTGAAACAGGTGATTCCATTAATTTTTATTGTAGTAATATTATATTTATATTAGACATCGGAATGAGGATTTAAAAAAAGTTAGGTTCATGTGTTACGATATTCTTAGGGTTAAAAAATTGACATTATACTGTTCAATAAATAAATATAACAATTTTAACCCTCAACGGCAATACAGTTAATAAATAGCTGCTTTACCTCGTCAAAATGACTGCTGCTGAAGCTTCTGCTATGGCTGTGGTGTCTTTGCCATTTGTAGTCCAAGGTGGGCATGCCGTGATCGGGACTTATTCCACTGGCCCCTTTGCAAGATCTCCAAGTTTCCTGACAAATAGTTAATTGAAAAATGTCAACAGGTAGAAAAATATTTGTGTATCACTTTTAAATAAATATTAATTGAATTAGATATAATTTATTTATAGTTATTAAAGCATATTCATTAATCAACACGATTGTGTGCACCTGAAATATTGTTTGGTTGCTTAAATGTATAATAAATTAAATTATAAATTCATTAATTGTAGGCGCACGTATTAAAACTTTAAATGTTTTAATACCTACACGTTTACTGCGTGTTTCAACTTTCAAGGTTAAAAGTATTTGCTAAAGTTTATTTACTTATAATTTTGTTTAGCCAAATAAACATGTTATCAATTAATATAATTATTTACATTATAAAATTACTAAATGCATGCCAGCGGCGGATCATCAAAGAAAATATCGGTGTTTCAAATTTAAATGTACCTAGTCATACACCTAAAGTAATTTAAATATTATCATCAGCTAAACATTTGCATATGTACTACCAATAAATACAAAATATTGATGATACAATTATTTTGGTATTTAACTACTAAATAACTAAATAGTGGTGCTCGTTGATCGTTAAATTTTACTGGTTGATCGTCTGAGTTAATTGGTATAGATATCCAAATGAAAATGTTTTAAATATCTGTGCCTGACATGCTGAATTTTGATGTGTATTCAAGTTACCTATAGTATCAACAAAAAATTTCCAAAATACCTAATCGAATAGTCGTTTCCTTTTCCAATATCAGCGAACCACTAGAAACGAATAGAATGTTGGTAAAATGTTGTGGAGTACAATCTACATTTTAGAAAATTGAAAATTGACTATGAACTAGTATCATTTTATAGAAAGCTTCAAACTGTGTTACTGTCCCCTCCTGATCCTATTTCAGAAAACAGCATTTCAATATATTCTGTGAAATTTAATAAGATATAACGAACTAATTTGTCCAGTTTTAATTATGTTGTCATTTATTCTGTTCATGCTTTGATTGCTTGTTCCTATCACTATCATATATACCTATTATGTCCCAGTCTCCAATTATATTTCTAACAAGTATTAATATTATATATTATGTGTAGATTAGGTGTATAAGTCTTGTATTCACTAACCAGGAACATTATGTACTAAAACTTGAACAACCCAGCAGTATGTTGTATGGTAAATAACATTTACAAATTATTAACCATACAACCGTTGTGCATAGAAGTAACACAATAGAGAAATCAAGTTTACTATAACTAATATTATTCAGTTTACTTATCTATACGTTATAGTTTAAAATACGACTATAATGTATATATATTATATTCATATAGTTCATCAATGCAGTATAGGCCACTTTTTGGATCATGAAACGTATTTACTATTAATAAAATATTTCAAATAATATAATATAATTTTAGTAAAAAAGGAGGTACCTATATTAAAATGGTATTTTGAATTTCCACTTTTACAGTTCAACCTGAAATTGCGTTTCACCGTTAAGGCGTCACTATTAGAATTATTGTGATCAAAGTTCGTCAGTATATTTATTAAACTTGACACTTATATAGTGAATTACAAGACTAAGTCGTTAATTGTATAAAGTTAAATTCAATATAGGTGCCAACGGTTATTTTTCCTTTGCCGTTTTTAGATGTTTTAAAATCAAACTTAATATTATAGAGAAAATCATGATTTGAATAATGAACAATATACCTATTACCTATATATATATTATTTTATCGTCAGGTAGGTATTTCATTTCGATTTGTTTTCCTTTTAAGGTTTCCAATCAATAGCGTAGCGAACTTATAATATCCCGGAAGCGATATTGGTATAGTATTTTCTAATTTGTAAATAACGTTGAAACACTTATAATATATAATACATTACCTATTATTATAAATTACAAGATGTATATTTATACAGTGGACTATGTAAATAGATATTATCGTCGTTGTGTACTCAACTATATACACGTGTACATGATTATAATAATACCCACCGCATCAAGAGTCGAGAGCCAACACTACTAATCCATTCATTGAATGTCTAAAAGGCTTTCGGGTAACACACTACTTAATTCTTATATGTTCACTATATGTAAGACATTGCAGAGACCGTTTAAAATTATATTTTATATAAATATTATATTTTTTGAAATGTCTCGTTAAGTATTATATTGTAATGTCGTGAAGACGTGATAGGTATCGTTTTAGTAAAAATTGCATAGTGTGGAACATTATTAATTATATTTATTAGTTTATTTCGTACCGTCTGTTTACCTCTACTCACTTTGAAAGCAGTCCGGAATTTGTACGACATGAGATTGTACAGAAGCGGGTTGATAGTGGCCGACAAATAGTACAAGATTCCCGATACGTAGTTTAGCACCTGATAGACGTTTGCATCGATTATCGAAGTGCTCGAATGGTCCTCGTGATTAACGTCTCCGTAGATGGCAACCAGCCTTTGGGCTTGAAACGGCGCCCAACAGACAAAAAAGGCCACCACCACGACAACTGCAAAGTATAATACTAACGTTTAGAAGAATAATTCCAAGGCATAACAGTGGTGACATTTTAAAAAATAGCATGCAAACAGTATTATACAGCCTGAATCTCCACGACTGTGACCATGTTTAAACGTCATGTATACACACATTCTCGACCACCCTTGTTGGTTGTACGTCGTACGACCTGGTTCACCCATGCACAAACTTATTTATTTTTTTAAATATAATATCTATCGACTGCGTAAGGTTTTTCATTTGAAGATTAAAAACATTCAAAATTATTAAAGGTACATATGACCTTTTGACGGGATATAGTAATTTAAAATTATATTAATTCAATAACGTAATAATAAAAGCTAACGTTGAAGTTGCTTTGATGATCCGTCTGAAGTTTTTAAATAATGTCGAAAATACACCACATAATATATATATTATATTATATACACCACCATGTAGAGCTTAGTAGGTAGAACTAATAAATATTTTGAGTAAAAAAAAAATAGTAAATACAATTTATCATATAAATTCTTTAAAAATCACTCATTATATATTATTATAAAAATATTATACCTAATAACTTAGTTAATTTTTACACCTCGTGCCTCGGCCTTTTTGCGCCTCGTATCTTCATGTACCTACATTTATTTTATATTTTATAATACATAATATAGATACTTCAAACGTTCCGAAACCAAATTGTTAGCATCCTGCCCTTATAATAATTAATAAATTGTACTGACAACCACTGCCTACTTGGGTAGATATTTATTATTTTTCATTGGTTTGAGTAATAAATACGTAATTATTACAAGGTGTCTAGTCACCGAGAAACATTGACAGAGAGAATGGTAATTTTATTATGTACCAACTACAAAATATTGATTAAAAAGATTATCATTCAGTTAAATAACTTTGAATTTTGTATAGAGTAGAGTTACAAAAAAAGTATTAATTCCGTAAACCTCTAAAAGTTGATAATATTATTGTAAGTTGTTCGGTGTAATTATGGATTCAGAACACGGAACAGTGGATTTTCAATTTAGATTGATTGTTTCTTAAGTTTGTTGTGACCTATAAGACTTATAACCTTCACAAAAAAAACTTTGTGAGCTAACTATGTTTATATCGTTAAAAGTTGTTTTCAAAATCTTAGGTTAACGTCAATTCGTTTTTAATTTACAATATTTTCAATGTTATGTTGCACCGAATTTTTCAATGATTACAAAAAACATTATAAATAACCTGAATCACCAAAAATTACTATTAAAAAATAATTTAGAATTCAATTATTATAATTAATTATTAGTGTTTGGTGTAAAGTTCATTGGTGCAGTATCTATTATAGCTAACCCTATACATAGGTATAAAACGGAAATTATTAATTCGTTTAATTTAATACTTTAATTTTATATTACATTACAAATGTTGATTAAATATCGCATTCAACATTATGTTAAATAATATGGTAGGTACGTTTACTTTTATAATAACGAGATGCAGTTTATGATCATGCAATATTCATCATTATTTTTTTAGTGGATTCATTTTTTTAACGTTTAAAAAATTGAATTAAATACAAATAATGGAGGAGTATTTTTTATATATATATATATAAATAAATTTCTTTCCCCCGTAACGCTAAAAATAAAAAATATTGTTTACCTCACTCCGTTGACTGCTGCAGCTGAGTGCGCTTGGTCCACACAAATGTGTTTCCAATAGTTTACGAGATTTTACGATGATACAAATCTATTCGAAGAAATGTATTCTCCTGGGGTGAACATTTTACTAAAAATGGAAATGTTTCTAACGATATGGTGGCGAGATATAAACAACAAATAAACCCGAAAAATGTGATCTTGGCGCACTGTGGGTTGGGATGCTTAACACGTTCGCGGATGCTAGGTGGCTGGCAGATGCAATAAATGGCTCTATTTTCACGTGTTTATACGATAATCCAACGTGGAAAGCTTCGAATAGCCATGTTGACAAAATTATGTTTTATTCATTAACCTACATTTGGGGTACTCTATAATAGTATAATGTATTAAACATCATTCCTTGAGCAGACATTGTTTGTAATAACAAATAATGTTTCTCCATCGCCGAAGCGTGATCCAGTGCATCAATCAGTGTTGAAAGTGCCTTGTTCACTGAGGAGAAGGGCCCGGTTTTAAGTATTAAGAGTCCATTCCCCATCCCAATCGAAGTATTATTATTGTTGTTAATTAAATTAAATTTTGTTAGTATAATAATCAATCATTAAAAACGTTTTGATTTTTTAATTTTCGTTTTGGATGTAGCAATTAGCGTTTTATGTTCCTGCAGAGATTAAGTTGAATGGGACAAAAAGTGATTTTTTACACCCTCCCCGATTATATAGAATTCCTAGTTTCACCATTGTAGTTTTTATACCACGTTATTTTATTTATATCTATCATCAAGAGTTGTATGAAACCTCCAAACGGAACTTTGACAATGACACAAATTAATAATAATAATTATAATATATTTATTTATACATCCCTATACTGCCCCCAATTAGTTATTAGGACAAAGTCCAACAACCAAACACCAGTTATTTATATATTATAATACCATCCATTAAAAAGATAGTACCAAAGAATTATATTGAATCCGTATAAAAAAATAGTTAATATTAAAATCGGCACAGCCAGAGAAAATATAAAATCACATAAACCAGTCACAACCACCCACCAGACATATATTATATTAATATCATTATACGCTCCTATTATTATAGTACTAAACATCTCATCTTTAAGAGTAGAGATAACTTCCCAGCAACACCAAGCCTATTTATAAGTGGTGCGAGCCACCAAAGACTCGCTGTCAGTGATTTCTTGTCATCCCCTATTCCCTTATTCCAATGCAGTAATGAACTATAATAACGCACCACACTCCCGGTACATTTATTTTATCTCATAATTAATGAGCTTTAATTATTATAATATCCTATTCAACAGAATATATAGTTGTATATAACAATAGTTTGAATTACAATAAGTTCATAATCCATCAGGTAAAGTTTTCAAGTTTTTAACTTTGCTGTATTTATTTAAATTAAATGTCTTTAAATTATTTACGTTAATACTTCACTGAAAAGTGCATTATTATACTACTAACCCTGTTTAAGAATACAAGAAAAAATGAATTTATACAATATATTCCTCTCGAGGGTTCAAGGTAGTAGAAAGACTGTCAAGATGTTTTGCTAACATTAACAGATATATTATTATATTATAGAAATAGATTCAAACGTCATAGGATTCTAGGGCTATCTCAACATGGCGTTAGACTTTATATTCATTTGTAATCTTATTTTCTTTATTCAGCATATTATATGCACATAAAAAGTGAGGCGAATGGTGATGCCTATCATTGGGTCTACGGGTCAGAGCTCGTGCTGAATTTAAGTCGGTCCAGATAAATTCGTATTATAACGGATGGATGAAAAAAGGGACTTTTGAAATTGTCGATTCTCTACAGAACCACACACGTCACGTAGCAGCCACTTCACTTCCACACATTATGTACCGTCAGTGTCCTGCAAAAAGTGTTCAAGCGAAAATTTTTTTAATTTCAATATTAGGCATTACTTCATATTTATTTCGCTTGGTCAGTTTTGGCTCGATAGATGATGAACACCGTTATATATATTATATTAATAAAGGTATTTAAAAAAATGTTTAAATTTATTAAAAAAAAATTAAATATCTAAATCTAATATTGATACGAAATGTATAGATCACCTGCGTGGGTTTGGAATATGTTATATGTATTTCAGAGAAAAATAGTTTAAAAATCGCCCATCGCTTGAGTACCTACTGAGTAGGAATGTCAAATATTTTCTTGACAGCTTTTCTCTTCCATTAAGTTAAAATTAATATTCAAAACCTAATCAAAATCTTTTTCACACACCCATAGGTACCTAGAAATGACATCCACGAATTTAACATTTCTAAAAAAATGCAAGGCTGGGCAAGTTAATGTTTTTTTTTAACTCGTTAAGTTAAGTTATTTTAAAATAATTAAGTTAAGTTAAGTTAAAAGTTACTCGTATTTTTTATCGTTAACTCGTTAAGTTAAAAGTTAACTTTGAAAAAAAAGTAACTTAACTTAGTGTAAAGTTAAAATTTGCTAATTTACAAAAATAGAAAATTCCAGACACATAATGTGGTTTATGTGGTTTATTAGATAGTTTTTCTTTACGTTTAAGAAAATTACTGGGGAAATTTAAAATAATACATCAAAGTAAAAACACATTAAAAAATTTACATTATTCTTCGAAAGAAAATTAACTTAATTTAGATACTTTTGAAATAAAATTAACTTGAAGTTAACAAGTTAATCTTGAAAAAAAGTAACTTATTAAGTTAAAAGTTAATTTGAAAAAAAAAGTAACGAGTTAATTAACTTAATTAAAATTAACTTAACGTTTTAACTTAATTTTAATTTTTAAATCGTTAATGCCCAGCCTTGAAAAAATGTACTCCTAATAATATTACTGAATCCGGTTTATTCTCGAATTTCAAAACTATTCGTTGATTTATTTAAAGTATATTAAATAAATTCATGTACCTCTACCACACCTGTCTAGACAATATGAGTTAATATCGAAATGTATTTTTTAAATTGTTTTTGATTAAATGAATGAACTTACTAAAAAAAAAAAAATTAAATATTTATGGAAGGGAAGTGGTGCGATAGAACGAATGCGTATGGAGTGGAAATGGAGACCAAATTACGGGGTTGGTGTGGAAATCATGATATATTATATCATAGTATTTATTCTATATATTATAATGATAATAATATAATAATATTATAAATTAAATTAGTGATTGTTGTAGTTTTATCTTTGTTTTGTTTTTGTGATGAAATTCTGTTGAAATGTATATTAATTTATCGTGATTTCATGAATTAATATAGATGAAACAATAATTTAATTGTATGCGAAAGAACAGTAAACGAACATTAACAAGACATAGTAGGTAGACGGTAGACAGTGTCAAATGTAAATTCCATAATATTATATAATTTGATTATAATATATTTTTTTTTCTGGTCAAGTACCTCCTTGATGTTTAAAACTGCTATATAATATTTCAAAACAGCAAGAGTTAATTAAATTGTATAATTGTTTATACTTTGGTATTGCATTTTACGATACCTATACTATTATTTAAATTTCCACGTTTATTATTGAGCCAATATAATACTATAGAATTGTTTTAATAGCTTTTTGCACAAAATATAATTATTGATCCAGATAATAAATTGATAAAATCATATATGTCGTAAAGGCCTAAAATAAATTAAAATAAGTCAGGTTATGAAAGTGTTATATGTTAAAATGTACATAAAAGTATTACCTATGTCTTATAAAGTCAACTAATTAATGTCGTCTACAATCCATGATCAACTTCAGTCATCTTCTTGTGAAAGCTTAGGTTTTATTGTAATAGACTTTGTGTCTTTACGTTCCGGAAATTTTGAATTATTAATATTTTTTGTAATTGGTACATAATTTTTATTTATTTATTATAGATGAACATTTTTACTGTAGTACATGGATATTGGGAGAGAGCAACAAAGGCACATAATATTATACTAATGTATAACGAGTTAAAAAAATTAATTAATAAAATACCTTATAGTTTTGTTTGATAAAATGCTAGCCTTTGACTACATTCAAAAATTCTGAACTTTTAAACGTTTTAATTAAAACATGTAATTTTAAAATTATAACTAAGCAATACTTCTGAAAGTTGTACCTCTAAAATTAATAACCTTTGAATAATAAAAAAAATATCTGGAAGCTACAAAAATAAATCCATTAAATATTTTTAACATTGATTGAGTAGTTCAGTATTCTATAGTTATATTACTAATGTACCTGTCTAAGGCCTACCTATTATATATAAGATTAAACTCTCTTATTGGAAGTATGACGAACTTATATTTATAGGTAAAGATTTCATATTATATTATGACGTGTGTGTTTCCTTCTAGCTTAGATTGAATTAGAAAAGTATCTGCCATCTATAATACCTGTATACGTGTAAGCTATAAGTCAATTCGAATAGTTTTAGAAATAGGTAGTCAATATTGTGGTCAAAAGTAATATAATAAAATATACAAATATACATTTGTTTTGATACAGACCGTTTATAACAAATTAATATATTTCAAATAGTTTTTGTTCTGTAAAACAGAATATCCATTTATAAGTTTTTAATCTCATTATATCGTAGTATACTTCTGTTATGTTATATGTAAGTTTACCTAATAATTATTTCACTAGTTTGAAAATAAAAACTTAGGGAAACATGTAATAATTAGGCACCTAACTAACAATATCATGGTATCTAATATCTATACCCTTATAAAAAGACAATTCATAAAAAGGTTATCATATGCCACGTGTCCAATATATTATTGCGTACGACGAGTTTCCCATAACGTGCAACGAAAGGAAATTTTTCTTCTTATTTCTGTTTCGTACGGTTTATATTAATGACATAAACAAGTCATGAATGCTTAAAACAAATTTTATAAAAGTACATGTGCGATTTGAGACATTAATACAACAACACTTTAAGTAATAATACTATAATAGTGAATATAATACTAATTTTTATGGTTAGGGCTACGGCAGTGTAGCCACTCCAAACAATTTCTAACATGGTTTTTCATAACTTCAAGTGTAGGATCTTTTAACTCAATGTTGGAATTTAAGTAAGAAGCGATTTGATATATTTGTTGTACTACAAGAGGTTCAATGACAATAGATTTTCTTTCAGTGATCTCGAAAATAGCACATTCTAAACTCTAAAGCTTGTTAGTGTAATAGATCACTGCGATTTAATAGAACACGATATCCGTCTTGAATTGTCCACTATAACGAGTGTATTCTCTGATTGATAAGTCATGCTAGACATTAAATTTGATTCGGATTATTAAAATAAATGTATTTTTTATTTCTGGCTGATCGATTATGAATGATAGAATGTTTCCCATAAGTCTAAATATGTCTTTTATAAAGTCCACAGGAATATTAACAAAACTTGAAGAGGTTATAATATTAATCACAGGCTTGAATTCATCAGTTATATATATATAAACTATAGTTTCCAATGTTCTAAGACATGTGACCCTCAAAATCAATGGTGAAATTAGTGCAATCGATGAGTTTAGCCGGTGGAGATGGAGGGATATATGTTCAACTTTTCTCCTTGTATCAGATCCATCGCCTTCACCAAAACCCTATCTGTCACGTAAACAATATATTATTGCGTACGGCCGCCATACCTGCGCTCGCGTTTCCCAAAACGTGTGACGGAAGGAAAACATTCTCATGTTTCTAATATTTTTTTTCTTAACTTCATATTTAGTTTTAAATATAATTTGTTCTTAAAATGGTTTTATTATTAGTGTTCTATTAAATATTATACATCTATTTTAGTACATCATATAATACCTACATAAGACAAAACTCTGCAAATATTTATGCTTCGGTCCCGAATTAATAATAACTGTTTTCAGCAATGAAGATGTAATAGTTATCTTTATTTTGTGAAGTACAAATGAATGGTTTATTCTAAATATATTTTTTATAAAATTGAATATGTGTAATGTGTATCATGAATAAAATAAACAAAATTCGGAGAATTTTTCACCAATATATATTAACATTAAAAAAATATCGGACGAATACAGCCTAAGTATTTATTGTGTTTTCCCTTCGCTTATCTTGGAATAGGTTACTTTGCTCATAAAATACATTTTTAAATAGTTCAACTATTTAAACATTAAACCTCTGTGATTTTTTTTTAATTTATGACCTAGGGGAACATCATGTATGATTTATCCGTATGATCTATCTAATAATATATACATAGCATATAATGTAATATAATTTATATCAATTAAATAATGAATTTTCGTACTTATCAACATTTTTTTTGTTTTTTAATTTTACAGTGTATTATAATAATAGAAATTGCAAATAGAAAAATTATATTTATCGAAATATCTTAATTTGTATCGGTATCCAATTATATTTTATTATACAGGAAGTACCTGTAGAATTTTGAGAAAATATAAATAAATTATATATTATATATAAATATTATAAGTGAAAACTTGCGGTATTCTTGTAGCCGTTTAATTTTGGAACTTAAATGAAGCGATTCGAGATTTGGCATCACTTGAATTTGTAATAACGGTTTTATTTCACGTCTTTCAATAACATTTTATGTTGACAACGTCATGTCTAACGCTTTAAAATTAAAAAAGAACAGAAACAAATGTTGAGTTCAAAATACTCATTAAATGTGTTTTTGTCGACATAATGTACATTTTGTACATTTCTTTTTTTGATCTAAACTCCCAATAAATTTCGACAAACATTTGTACTTAATAGCAATATACAATTCTCGGAAAGACGTGTACCAAGCTATCATTGAACAAGCTTTATTTTTAAGCTATACGTACTTTATAACTATAGCTTTTTAATAAAAGGCCCTGTTAGGTAGGCTTAAAACAAAGAAAACTGTCATTTCTGACTTCCACATGCGATTAGTTATTTTAATTATCTAGCTACGTTTTCAGCTCATATTGTCCCAAGACTCTGCTTTTCCGTCAATACACTATTCACCAAACAAGAATAAATCCAAATTTAAAATTTCAACTAAACTAAAAAATATGTAATTTTTATTTTAGTTTTTCTAAAATACGAAACCATAAGATAAATAAATAATTAAATAGTTCACTAAGACTTAATGGAAACACATATTTTGGTGTGCCTGCAGTGAGTGAAATTTTTTTCAGTGTTTGGGATGAGTGGTGATTATTATTTGGTAATTGGTGTTAACAATTAATGTTATATATACTTATCACCAACCTCGTTTTATCCTGTAATAAAATTATTCATTCATTCAAATTTATTTATTCAAATTCCAAACTACTATAATATTGTCTTCGATATCTCAAGGCATTAAATAGTTGTGTCTTATGGTGACTCAAACTTATTTCTTCGAATGAGTCTCTTCCTCGATAAAACTTAAAATATCTATATAACATAACACTATCTAAAGTTTTATATTTTATAAATAATATTATGCAAACATTTTGCATCAACCACAGGATACTCAAATGTTTTCTCTTTTTAGAAATGTGGTATAAATGTATATAAATAAATAGATAATATTTGATCGATGTACCTATTTGTGGGATACTTACCAAGCATTTTCACTACACGCCCTGTGGCCCTGGTGTTGGTGGAGCTCAGGCATGCGGTGTGCCGGCAGTGGGCCGAGCACGTTGTCCTGGACGAGTCGCGCTTGGATTTGTACAGCTTGAGGCCGATGAGTATGTACAGGACGACGATGAGCGTCCACGGAGCCAGGAAGAACAGTACCGAAGACAGTTCGAACGAGTACGGCAGCTTGTTGGCCAGCCCACACGTGGACAGCTCTGGTATGATCGTGCCGTCCTGTTCGCGTCCGTACACGAGTCCCATCTGTATGGCCTGCACAAACCAATACGACACGTGGTTATTACCGTATACGAAAAGCAGTGCACTGAAGTCTGAAGGTTTTGTGATGAAAGAAAAAAATAGAAGATTACTTAGGTAGTGAACTTATTTTTTATTTTTCAACCTCGACAGCTCTGCCCCCCCCCCATTGGCACCGCAACACACAACCACGAGTGAACTTGGTTTCCGCCCGGGTTAAACCTTTTAGGTTTGTCAGAACTTTGTAAATCTCTTTGGTGGTGCTGTTAACCACGAAAATCTCGGGTTACTCCTCGCCCCCACACGCTAAAAATGTACGTAAGTAAGTTTTCCGTTAAATCTCGGCAAGACAAATACGATACTATAGCCATGACTTGTTTAAGGCGCATTATCGCAGACTCAAGAGTGCAATTTAAACCCGTTTTGTTTATGTATACATATAGTACGAGTAGGTATATAAATTACACCCAAAACAAACCATAAATATTTTTTTTTTGTATTGGTCTATTATAATTTATAATGGTATTACAATAAGTATTGTTTGCGACCGGGAGCAGAATATATAAAATTTTTTTGTATCTGTAGGTACGATGGAAGTTTTTTTCCTATTATTTTCAGAATTAAACATTAAAGCCAAAAAAATGTTCGAGTATCTACCTATATTATAATAATACACATATAAATTATACCACATAATATTTTGTATCCATAATATAATGTTATATCAGACATTTCGATTGCTTTTTCAAACCTCAGATTATGGTTGTAGTCTGCGTTCACCCTAAAAATATACTTTGTTTCTATAGTATAGGTATATTATTTCATTATTACACCATCTAACTGTAATGTTGTCAATGATTTTATTTCATTATTGTAATCAAATAGTTCATGGGACGCACACAATGAACTATTGAAGCCAGACAAATTGTTAGTGTCTGGACAGTTTCAAAATTCAAATCCTATCATTGGAGTTTTCATTACATTGTCATTTTTAGATTATTCTGGTATTCTACTTTAGATAAACAAAATACAATTTTAATAATAATATCGAACGTACCAATGGTACTAACCGAATTAAAATTCATCAGTAGTAACAGTTCGCTGAATTATTAGGTTGTATAATATAGATGAAAAATAAATACAGATTTTTACAGTGGCTGCGGTGACTGTATAGTGTTCATTGTTATAAATTATAAATTATAATACGTTTATTCTACTACAAAAAGTCATAGAAATGTGTATACTAACCAGTACCGTATGGAATTTTATCAACAATTTACATATAATATTTAATATTATAATGCTATAACATAAATGCTAATATTTACTATTTTATAATAGTGTTAGGTTTGATAAATATTTCATTTTAAATGAATATATATATCAACTAAAACAATATGCACTGATTATTTTGTACTCGTATACCTACACATACTTATTTAATATACTAAATGCTCCACTCAAAAACATACCCCGGAAAAATGAAAAACCTTATATTAAATAATATAAAAACGATTACAGATTCAATTTCAGAGTACTGTAATTTTGAAATACACAATAAACATATAATAATATATATACATTTCAAATAATTACGGGGGTGTTGACCGGTGTAATGCTCCGGACTGTGAAGTTGTCTGACCATGTCCATTACTATATTTGTATTTTACCGGAATGAAATAACATAAAACCGAACGATGGCTAATCCAAACTGAAAAATGCTTTTAAATTTTTTTCATTTAACGTGGAACAACAAATAATATCAGTGTATGAATCACATCTGTATACGTTATTCTTCCATATTATTATGATGTGAATTTGGAAGTCTAGTTATCACTCATATTAGTCGCACCACGGGGATCAAAAATGTCGTGTACAGTGTGCTCCAAAGCTTTCAATCAGCAAGAAAACAGCTAAGAACGCGGAATATTTCTTTTTTTTTTATTGCTCTTTAGTTTCTAATTAATTTTTTTAAAACACATGACTTTACTCCCCGCATGAACAGCAGAATATGCTACACGCGTTATATAAGCCATGATATAGGGACTAAAATTGAATGTAGTGCGAAATGCTAAATGCTATAATGTGTTCGTCGGATCATTTCATTATTGTCTACATCCAATATTTAAATACGTAATATATTATGTATTTGCTTTGATTTGTTAATCGTACGTCAATACTCGCGGTTGGGGGTAACTTTTGCCATCATAGCTAAGCCGCCGTCCACTCGCTCGTGGCTGGGTCAGTGTGTGGCAGAGTGTATCAAGTGTGTCAAGTGGTCGTTCACATTTATTTTAATCCCGCCACGGGAAAATGAATAAAATATAATAGTTTAAAACAGACGGGCCAAACTATACCTCTGGCTGAAAAAAAGAGATAAGTCTGAGCGATAATGTGCTCCAAGTATTTCTAAGTTGATTGTTTTATTTTAAATAATTTTATTTTGAGTATTGAAAAAAAGTTTACGGAAACAATATTTGTTGTATGGTGCAAGGATGACGTATAATATGATCTATTACTTTTAAGGATAACGAAAAACCATCTGTAAACTAATATATTTTTTCCGCTTGAATAATTGGATATAGCAACAAAGAAAAGTTTGTCGAAAACTTATCTCCCATAAAGAGCCACGTAAAACGAGTCAAGTAACTTTGAACAGTGATGGATATTTCTCAGCTAACGTGACGACGGATCCCTTGGTATTTTTTATGTGCGACACATACTAGACAAAACGTAATACAGTAAAAATGAATAAAAATAAAAATGCTTGAACAACAGTCGCAAAAGTTCAAAGCTAATGGAAATCAACTTGAAAAAAATTGTACTTTATTTTAATAGTAGGCTTAAATGTTTATTCAGGTAATCTCTATAAGCACAGGGAATTTACAACAGTAGATACAAATGTACAATTCGCATTTCTTTTATTTTTGTATAAATGTTTGTTTTTTATCAAACTCATCCTTATCTATGTAGGTATTGTCGGTTAATGTCAAGAAATAAATGAACTAACTATAATGGTTAAAGTTTTAAATTTAAAGTACTGAACAGTTTATAACAAAATCATTCATTTTATAATATTATAAAGAGGATTATTTTAATAATGTTACGAATGAACAAAATGTCTGGAAGTCATTATTTATAAGTGTGTCAAAGATATATCATTATGATGGTCATAATAATTTTAAGGTACCTTTAGTATAATTAAAATCATGCATACCTACCTTCATGTATAAACAAGTATTATATATTTTAATTCTTTTATTTTATAAGTCTCGGAATCTTTAAAAGGGAGTTAATAATTTAGTAGACATGTTACTTATAATATTATATATCTAGATTATTTTTTGAAAATTGAATTGTCATTTAAATTCTTTATAACAATTCTTAATAGGGAAGTGATTATTGAAACAAAAATCATGTAGTGAATCATTAAGATACCATTTTTATTTAAGGTTAAGCTTTTATATTATTATTACTATTCACCAGTATGGCTAATAATTAACTGTACTAAAGATCTATGGGCAACGAGCTATAGTTTTTGCTGTGGTGAAATTATTTATATTTGTTGAATGAAATTTATTTAAACAATTTTATGATCACTCAAAGGATTTGGGGAGTACGAAAATTAAATTTCAAGACATTTAAACAAAGGTTAGAATACTTAGGTCAGCCGATAATAATTGTAAACTTTGTTAGAGAAAGAGCTATAATTATTACTTAGTCAGACGAAAATTGTGCTCACCTAGCAGATTTGAGTGTCGGACTATAAACTAAGTGTTTTATTACAGCCCTTGGTTTTCTACGGATAATAGTAATGGTTTGAAACAGGGCTTGAAACCGAAAACAATTTTTCCGGTTTCGGTTTTGGTTTCGGATACCGGTTTTGATTTTTTCCGATTTCGGTTTCGGTTTCGGATACCGGTATCAATTTTTCCGTTTCGATTTCGGTTTTTAAGGGTTTTAACCGGTATTCAAAATCAGTATCGAATATCGGTTTTAATCCCTGTATTTATAATAATTTATAATGACATAAAATACTGGCGTAGGAACCTACTTGCCAATCGCCAAACATTGCGTGGCATACGATTTGGTGTCTGGTTGCCTGACAAGTACTATAGTATTTGCAATCAATGATAATATTTACACTGGAATGAATACGTAATTATGACGTATTTAGTTATAGCCTCTCCACTTCATAACACATTTTCCAAATGATTTGCGACCTAATTTTTTAAGAGTTTGTGTAACTTCATCGTTTATAAGTTGAAACTATTTTCTCAATGAGGGGCTAACTTCATGTGTGTCCCACCCACCACATTAATCAAATTGATCACAGCTTGATTATATTATACAAATCTAGATTAGGTATATTAATCCAATATAGTATGGTTGGTGGTGGGTTGGTAGGGAGCACATTTTTCAGTCGACGGCTTTTAGGGAAACCCAGACAATATTATGTTAAGGCCTTATAATGTATTATAATAAATTATAAATTATATAAATTATTTATAACTATACTATAATTATTGACTCAGTATTTCATAATTTATTGTTGGCTATTGTGTTAATTTAATGTAGGAAAATTATGCCACATAGGTATTTCTGTCTTCTGATCGTCTGTGGCGGCAGAAAAACACGACAGCTTATAATATAGTAAATAATAATAGTATTATTGTTATACAATTTTTATTATAGCGTATTTCTGCGTATACTGTTTTAGAATACGACTATACGATTAATCCATTTACCAAAATAATATATAATATATAAATATAATAATTATTATATTGCGTATAATAATAATATTATATTATGCGTCTAATAATTTATATACCCTGTGGAATTACCTATGCAAACATACGGGTGCCCGCAGACGAAGACTACTGCACCAGTGCAGCTAGACCTACTTACATAATAATATATTATTAAATTATAAAATATTAATTATAATAATATAATATATTAGGCACCATTAATCATTATTAATATCAATTGTATTACTGCAGAACTCAGAA